TCCCCTGGTCTGACCCCACAGCACCCAGAGCCCCCCGGTCTGACCCCATAGCACCCTGGGGACCCAATGGCACCCAGAGCTCGCCCCCCAATCTTGCCCCAGAGCATCCTGGGGACCCCACAGCACCCAGAGCCCCCCATAGATCCCACATAACCCAGAGCCCCCCGGTCTGACCCCATAGCACCCAGAGCCCCCTGGTCTGACCCCATAGCACCCTGGGGACCCAATGGCACCCAGAGCCCCCCCAGTCTTGCCCCAGAGCATCCTGGGGACCCCACAGCACCCAGAGCCCCCCATAGCACCCAGGGGACCCAGTGGCACCCAGGGACCCCCAATCTGTCCCCACAGCACCCTGAGGACCTGGGCACACGGATGATCCTGGGGGTGTCCCATGGGGGGGTGGGGGGGGGAACTCACCCCCAATCTGCCCCATAGGACTAAAGCAACCCCAACCCCCCCCATTGCCCCCCCTTGCCCCCCCATTGCAACCCATTGCCCCCCATTGCCCTCTAGCACCCCCCCCCCGGAAAGGGGGCTCCCATCTATGGCAGGGGGGAACCTGGTCAGGGGGGTCCCAGTAGGCTGGGGGTCTCTGGATGGGGGGGGTCCCAATGGGGGGGGGGGTCCAGTTCTGGGGTCAATGGGGATATGGGGGGTTAATGTGGGGTGGGCCCCATGAGCATATGGGGGGGACTCTGGGGGTGTCCCATGCGGGGGTCCCAGAAGTGGGGCTCCAATGGGGTGGTCCATAGGGGGGTCCCATTGGGGGTCCATAGGGGGGGTCTCATTGGGGGGCCCAGAAGAGGGGTTCCAATGGGGGGGTGCCATAGGGGGGTCCCATGGGGGGGTCCCAGAAGAGGGGTTCCAATGGGGGGGTCCATAGGGGGGTCGCATTGGGGGCCCAGAAGAGGGGTTCCAAAGGTGGTGTCCCATGGGGGGGGTCCCATTGGGGGGCCCAGAAGAGGGGCTCCAATGGGGGGGTCCATAGGGGCGTCCCATTGGGGGTCCCAGAAGAGGGGTTCCAATGGGGGGTCCATGGGGGGGTCCCATTGGGGGGCCCAGGAGAGGGGTTCCTATGGGGGGGTCCGTAGGGGGGGTCCCATTGGGGGGCCCAGAAGAGGGGTTCCTATGGGGGGTCCATAGGGGGGGTCCCATTGGGGGCCCCAGAAGAGGGGTTACAATGGGGGATCCATAGGGGGGTCCCATTGGGGGGCCCAGAAGAGGGGTTCCAATGGGGGGCCTATAGGGGGGTCCCATTGGGGAGCCCGGGAGAGGGGTTCCAATGGGGGGGTTCCATAGGGGGGTCCCAATGAGGGGCCCAGAAGAGGGGTTCCAATGGGGGGGTCCCATAAGAGGGGTTCCAATGGGGGGGTCTATGGGGGGGTCCATAGGGGGGTCCTATTGGGGGTCCCAGAAGAGGGGTTCCAATGGGGGATCTGTAGGGGGGTCCAATTGGGGGGCCCAGAAGAGGGTTCCAATGGGGGGGTTCCATAGGGGGGTCCCATTGGGGGTCCCAGAAAATGGGTTCCAATGGGGGGCCCATAGGGGGGTCCCACTGGGGGTCCCAGGGGTTCCAATGGGGGGTCCCATAAGAGGGGTTCCAATGGGGGGTCCATAGGGGGGTCCTATTGGGGGTCCAAAAAGAAGGGTTCCAATGGGGGGTCCATGGGGGGTTCCATAGGGGGGTCCTATTGGGGGTCCCATAAGAGGGGCTCCAATGGGGGGGTTCCATTGGGGGGGTCCCACTGGGGGTCCCATAAGAGGTGTTCCAATGGGGGTGTCCCATGGGGGGGGGGGTCCCCATCACTCACATCTGGGCCTGGCTGGAGGTCGCGCACAGCAGCAGCAGCAGCAGCCCCATAGGCAGCACCGGGTGCCCCATGGCCGCAGGGGAGGGCAGTGGTGGGGCCGGGGGGGTCCTTTTATAGCAGCACCCATAGGTTAATGGGTAACCAGCACCCATGGGGCCACCCAACACCGGGGGGGGGGGTGGGGGGGTGGAACCGGGTCTATGGGTGCAACCGGGCACCCATGGGGCCACCAAGGGGGGGGGGCGCGATGTTCTCTGTGCCCCCCCCCCCCGAAATGGATCCACTGGGGGGGGGGAGGGGGAGTCGGGACCTACCAATGGGGGTCCCTTGGGTGGGGGTTGGGGTGGCCCCCGGGGGGGGGGGGAGGGGCTTCCCGGGTGCTTCCTCATTTCGGGGAAGGAGCTGGCGAGGGGCCATGGGGTTGCGACATCGGGGGAGGGACAATGGGGGGGGGTGATGGGGCAGCAGGGACACATTGGGGGCAATGGGGGTAATGGGGCAATGAGAGCAATGGGGTAATGGGGGTAATAGGGGTAATGGGGGTAATGGAAGCAATGAGGGCAATGGGGGGCAATGGGTGCAATGGGGGGCAATGGGGGTAATGGAGGGCAATGGGGGTAATGGGGGCAATGGGGTAATGGGGACAATCGGGCAATGGGGGCAATGGGGGGCAATGGGGGTAATGGGGGCAATGAGCACAATGGGGGCAATGGGGGGCAATAGGGGTAATGGAGGGCAAGGGGGGTAATGGGGGCAATGGGGCAATGGGGGCAATGGGGCAATGGGGGCAATGGGGGTAATGGGGGGCAATGGGAGTAATGGGGTCAATGGGGGTAATGGGGGTAATGGGGGGCAATGAGGGTAATGGGGGCAATGGGGCAATTGGGGCAATAGGGCAATGAGGGCAATGGGGGCAACGGGGGTAGTGGGGGCAATGGGACAATGGGGGCAAAAGGGCAATGGGGCAATGGGAGTAATGGGAGGCAATGGGGGTAATGGGGACAATCGGGCAATGGGGATAATGGGGGCAATGAGGATAATGGGACAATGGGGCAATGGGGGGCAATGGGGGTAATGGGGGCAATGAGGGCAATGAGGCAATGGGAGTAATGGGGCAATGAATACAATGGGGTAATGGGGCAATGGGGGTAATGGGGGCAATGGGGTAATGGGGGCAATGGGGGTAATGGCTGCAATAGGAGCAATGGCAGTCAATGGGGCTAAAGGGGTAATGGGGGGCAATGGGACAATGGGGGGCAATAGGGGACAATGGGGGGAAGGAAGTATCTGGGGGTCCCCCCTGCACCAGGACCCTGGGCAAGACCTGGATATGGGGGTGTCCCCCCAACAAGATCCCCAACAGGTCTCAGGTGCCTCCACCCCTCATGGACCCAGATGCTGGTCCCATGGCTCCCCTTGGGCCCCTCATGGACCCAGATGCTGGTCCCATGGCTCCCATTGGGTGACCATACCCAGACCCCTGTTCCCCCCCATGAGTCCCACCCCCCAGGTCCCCCCCATGGGTGCCCCATTCCCACCACCACCCCCCATGACCACAGGGGCCCCTCTGTGGCCTCCAGCTCCTCCCCGGCAGCAGGAGCAGGAAGGACCCAGCATCCGGGTTCCCATTGGCCCCCACGGCGCCGTGGGGCGCAGGCGCAGCACCCGCAGCTTCCGCAGGTCCCACCCGGGCCCCACAGCGCTGCCGCCTGCACTTGGGGCCGGGGGGGGTGTCCTGGGGCCCACCATCGGGACAAGGACTTCTCCAGGAGGTGGGAAGGAGCCAACGGTGGTGGTGGCCCCATCGCCATCAGCTCCTGGGGGTTCCTGAAGGGGAAGGAGCCCCCCTTGCTGTAGGAGCCTCCTGAGGACTCATCTCCATCACTAGAAGTGGTCCCACCAGGATCCCATCTCCATCAGCTCCTCCACAGACGTGGTCCCATCCGGATCCCATCTCCATCAGCTCCTCCACAGACGTGGTCCCATCCGGATCCCATCTCCATCAGCTCCTCCACAGAAGTGGTCCCACCAGGATCCCATTTCCATCGGCTCCTCCACAGACGAGGTCCCACCAGGATCCCATTTCCATCGGCTCCTCCACAGACGAGGTCCCATCAGGATCCCATCTCCATCAGCTCCTCCACAGACGTGGTCCCACCAGGATCCCATCTCCATCGGCTCCTCCACAGACGTGGTCCCATCCAGATCCCATCTCCATCGGCTCCTCCACAGACGTGGTCCCATCAGGATCCCATCTCCGTCAGCTCCTCCATAGACGTGGTCCCATCCAGATCCCATCTCCATCGGCTCCTCCATAGACGTGGTCCCATCAGGATCCCATCTCCATCAGCTCCTCCACAGACGTGGTCCCATCAGGATCCCATCTCCATCAGCTCCTCCATAGACGTGGTCCCATCAGGATCCCATTTCCATCGGCTCCTCCACAGACGTGGTCCCACCCGGATCCCATCTCCATCGGCTCCTCCACAGACGTGGTCCCATCAGGATCCCATCTCCATTGGCTTCGCCACAGACATGGTCCCATCAGGATCTCGTCTGCATTGACATCACCCCACCAGGACCCATCTCTACTGACACCCAACCAGGACCCATCTCCATCTCCATCACTAGAAGTGATCCAATCAGGATCCCATCTCCATCAGCTCCTCCATAGACATGGTCCCATCAGGATCTCATCTGCATTGATGTCACCCAACCAGGACCCATCTCCATCAATACCCAACCAGGACCCATCTCCATTGACACCCTACAGGACCCATCTCCACTGACACCCAACCAGGACCCATCTCCTTTGACACCCTACAGGACCCATCTCCACTGACACCCAACCAGGACCCATCTCCATTGACACCCAACCAGGACCCATCTCCATTGACACCCTACAGGACCCATCTCCATTGACACCCTACAGGACCCATCTCCTTTGACACCCTACAGGACCCATCTCCATTGACATCCAACCAGGACCCATCTCCACTGACACCCTACAGGACCCATCTCCATTGACATCCAACCAGGACCCATCTCCACTGACACCCAATCAAGACCCATCTCCACTGACACCCAATCAGGACCCATCTCCATTGACACCCTACAGGATCTCCATTGACACCCAACCAAGACCCATCTCCACTGACACCCAATCAGGACCCATCACTTCTCCATCCAATGGAGACCTGGCGTCAATGTGCCCAGTGGCTGGTGGCCGCGCGGGTGCTGCCGGGGGGGCACCGGGCCAGCAGCGCCGTGGGGCAGGTCTGGGACCTGGCCCAGGCCCTGAGGGATGGGGTCTTGCTCTGTCACCTCCTCAACGCCCTCCTGCCCCAGGCCGTGCCCCCCCGCGACATCTGCCCCCGGCCCCAGATGTCCCAGGTGAGACCAAAGGGGGGGAATTGCCCCTGGGGGGGGGGGGAGTTGTGGGGTATTTGGGGGGGGGGGGGGAATTGTACCAGGATGGGGTATGGGGTGGTGGTGACACTGGTGTGAATGAGGGTGATGGCAATGGGGTAATGGGGATGAGGAGATGGATGATGGTGGTGATGGTGATGGAGGTGATGCTGGAGTCAATGGGGATGATGAGGATGGTGACAACGGGGGTGATGGTGGATGAAGATGATGATGATGATGGTGGGTAGAGAACATGGGGTAATGGTAATGGTACCAGTGGATGTTGCTGTTGAAGGACAGGGGGTGATGATGGTGATGATGATGACAACGGGGTTGATGGTGGGTGAAGATGATGATGATGATGATGATGATGATGATGGTGGGTAGATAACATAAGGTAATGGTAGTGGTACCAGTGGATGTTGCTGTTGAAGGACAGGGGGTGATGGTGATGATGAGGGTGACAATGGGGATGATGGTGGATGAAGATGATGATGATGATGGTGGGTAGAGAACATGAGGTAATGGTAGTGGTACCAGTGGATGTTGCTGTTGAAGGACAGGGGGTGATGATGATGGTGATGATGAGGGTGACAATGGGGATGATGGTGGATGAAGATGATGATGATGATGGTGGGTAGATAACATGAGGTAATGGTAGTGGTACCAGTGGATGTTGCTGTTGAAGGACAGGGGGTGATGGTGATGATGACATGGGGATGATGGTGGATGAAGATGATGATGATGATGAACATGAGGTAATGGTAGTGGTACCAGTGGATGTTGCTGTTGAAGGAGGGGGTGATGATGATGGTGATGATGAGGGTGATGGGGATGATGATGATGATGATGATGATGGTGGGTAGATAACATAAGGTAATGGTAGTGGTACCAGTGGATGTTGCTGTTGAAGGACAGGGGGTGATGGTGATGATGAGGGTGACAATGGGGATGATGGTGGATGAAGATGATGATGATGATGGTGGGTAGAGAACATGAGGTAATGGTAGTGGTACCAGTGGATGTTGCTGTTGAAGGACAGGGGGTGATGGTGATGATGAGGGTGACAATGGGGATGATGGTGGATGGGTAGAGAACATGGGGTAATGATAGTGGTACCAGTGGACAATGCTGTTGACAGTGGAGGTGGTAATGACGATGATGGGGTGATGATGATGAGGTGATGATGGTGACAACGGCCTTGATGGTGATGATGATGGGTGGAGAACATGGGGATAATGGTGATGGAACCAGTGGCCAATGCTGTTGACAGTGGGGATGATGATGATGGTGAGCGGGATGATGATGGGTGATGATGAGGAAGGTGATGCTGGTGCCATGATGATGACGGTGGCAATAAGGTTGATGGTGATGACAATGGAAGGAGAACACAGGGATGATGGGGATGATGATGATGATTGGGATGAGGAGATGGTGATGATGGTGGAGGTGATGCTGGTGCCGATGGGGATGATGGGGATGATGATGATGATTGGGATGAGGAGATGGGGATGATGGTGGAGGTGATGCTGGTGCCGATGGGGATGATGGGGATGATGATGATGATGGTGACCATGGAGTTGATGGCGATGATGACAAGGATGATGGTGGTGATGGTGGCACTGGGGGTGATGATGATGGACGTGGTGATAATGATGATGGTGCTGATGGAGCTGATGGTGCTGATGGTGCCAATGAAGCTGATGGTGTAAATGGAGCTGATGGTGCTGATGGAGCTGATGATGCTGATGATGCTGATGGTGCTGATGATGATGCTGATGGTGCCAATGAAGCTGATGATGCTGATGATGCTGATGGTGCTGATGGAGCAGATGGTGCTGATGATGCTGATGATGCTGATGGAGCTGATGGAGCTGATGGAGCTGATGGTGCTGATGATGCTGATGGTGCTGATGGTGCTGATGGTGCTGATGATGATGCTGATGGTGCCGATGATGAAGCTGATGGTGCCAATGGTGCTGATGGTGCTGATGATGCTGATGGTGCTCATGGCGCTGATGGAGCCGATGGTGCCGATGGTGCCGATGGAGCCGATGGAGCCGATGGTGCCGATGGTGCCGATGGTGCCGATGGTGCCGATGGAGCCGATGATGCTGATGGTGCTGATGGTGCTGATGGAGCTGATGGTGCTGATGGTGCTGATGGAGCTGATGGAGCTGATGGTGCTGATGATGCTGATGATGCTGATGGTGCTGATGATGCTGATGATGCTGATGGTGCTGATGGAGCTGATGGAGCTGATGGAGCTGATGGTGCTGATGGAGCTGATGATGCTGATGGTGCTGATGGTGCTGATGATGATGCTGATGGTGCCAATGAAGCTGATGGTGCCAATGGTGCTGATGGAGCTGATGGAGCAGATGGTGCTGATGATGCTGATGATGCTGATGGTGCTGATGGCGCCGATGGAGCTGATGGTGCCGATGGTGCCGATGGTGCCGATGGAGCTGATGGTGCTGATCGTGCCGATGGTGCTGATGGTGCTGATGGAGCTGATGGTGCTGATGGTGCTGATGGAGCTGATGGAGCTGATGGTGCTGATGGTGCTGATGGAGCTGATGGTGCTGATGGTGCTGATGGTGCCAATGGGGGCAGCAATGGGGGTGCCACCGGGTGCTGATGGTGCCGGTGCCACCGCAGTTCCTGTGCCTGAGGAACATCCGCACCTTCCTGACTGCCTGTGCCGACAAGTTCGGGCTCCCGAAGCACCGGCTCTTCGGCGCCTTCGACCTCTTCGATGTCCACGACTTCGGCAAGGTGGGACCCACACGGGGGTGGGGGGGGGGGGGAGCCGGGGGTTGAGCTCCCCCTGGCCCCAATGGCCCTTCCATGTGCCCAGGTCATTGAGACCCTCTCGACGCTCTCCTGGACCCCCATCGCCCAGAGCAAAGGCCTCATGTGAGTGGGGAAGAGCTGGGGTGGGCATTCCCAATGGATCCATCATCTGGGTCCTGGTTCCTGATGGATCCAGGTCCTGCTTCCCGATGGATCCATCATCTGGGTCCTGGTTCCCAATGAATCCAGGTCATGGTTCCTGATGGATCCATCATCTGGGTCCCAGTTCCCAATGGTTCCACCATCTGGGTCCCAGTTCCCAATGGATCCATCATCTGGGTCCTGGTTCCCGATGGATCCATCATCGGGGTCCCAGTTCCCAATGGATCCATCATCTGGGTCCCAGTTCCAAATGGATCCATCATTCGGATCCTGGTTCCTGATGGATCCATCATCTGGGTCCCAGTTCCCAATGGATCCATCATTTGGATCCCAGTTCCTGGTGGATCCAGGTCCTGGTTCCCAATGGATCCATCATCTGGGTCCCAGTTCCCAGTGGATCCATCATCTGGGTCCTGGTTCTTGATGGATCAGGGACCTGATTCCTGATGGAACCATCATAGGGGTCCCTAGTTCCTGATGGATCCATCCTCTGGGTTCTACTTCCTGAGGGATCCATCATTCAGGTCCTGCTTCCCAATGGATTCATCATCCGTATCTTTGTTCTCAATGGATCCATCATCCGGGTCTCTGGTTCCCAATGGATCCATCATCTGGGTCCTGCTTCCCGATGGATCCAAGTGCTGGTTCCCGATGGATCCATCATCTGGGTCCTGGTTCCTGATGGATCCAAGTGCTGGTTCCCGATGGATCCATCATCTGGATCCTGGTTCCTGATGGATCCAAGTGCTGGTTCCCAATGGATCCATCATTCAGTTCCTGGTTCCTGATGGATCCATCACCCAGGATGTGTGTCCCCCCCAGGCCCTTCCCCACTGGTGACTATGTTGGGGACGAGGACATCTACAGCGGCCTCTCCGACCTCATTGAGTAAGTGGGGGCAATGGGGTAATGGGGGCAATGGGGGGCAATGGGGTAATGTGGGCAATGGGGGGTAGTGGGGACAATGGGAGGCAATAGGGTAATGGGGGCAATGGGGGGGCAATGGGGGGCAATGGGGTAATGGGGGCAATGGGGTAATGGGGGCAATGGGGGGCAATGGGGGCAATGGGGGGCAATGGGGTAATGGGGGCAATGGGGTAATGGGGGCAATGGGGGGCAATGGGGGCAATGGGGTAATGGGGGCAATGGGGGCAATGGGGGGGGCAATGGGGGCAATGGGGGCAATGGGGGGCAATGGGGTAATGGGGGCAGTGGGGGCAATGGGGTAATGGGGCAATGGGGGGCAATGGGGGGCAATGGGAGCCAATGGGGTAACGGGGGCAATGGGGGCAATGGGAGGCAGTGGGGTAATGGGGGGCAATGGGGGGCAATGAGGGGTGTTGGGGCATGAAGAATCATTTGAGGAGTGTCAAAAGGGGGGATTGGGAGGTACTCAGGGGATGCCAGGGAGTACTGGGGGCAATAGAGGGGGATTAGAGGGGTACCTGAGGGCAATAAGGGGCGTAGTGGGATATTTAAGGGGTCCCAAGGGATATTAAGCAGGTATTGGGGGGTATTTAAGGGGTGCATGGGGTATTAAAGGGGTATTGGGGGTATTTAAGGGGTACATGGGGTATTAGGGGGTATTGGGGGTATTTAAGGGGTGCATGGGGTATTAAAGGGGTATTGGGGGTATTTAAGGGGTACATGGGGTATTAGGGGGGTATTGGGGTATTTAAGGGGTACGTGAGGTATTGGGTGGTATTGGGGGTATTTAAGGGGTACATGGGGTATTAGGGTTTATTTAAGGGGTACATGGGGTATTGGGGGGTATTGGGGCTATTTAAGGGGTCCCTGGGGTATTAGGGGGGTATTGGGGGTATTTAAGGGGTACATGGGGTATTAGGGGGGTATTGGGGGTATTTAAGGGGTCCCTTGGGTATTAGGGGGGCATTGGGGCTATTTAAGGGGTACATGGGGTATTAGGGGGGATTGGGGGTATTTAAGGGGTCCCTGGGGTATTAGGGGGGTATTGGGGGTATTTAAGGGGTCCCTGGGGGTCTCGGCCCCCCCTGCCCCCCCCAGCGACACGGCGGAGGAGGACGATGACCTCTACGACTGCGTGGAGGCCGAAGGCGACGACGGCGACGACGTCTACGAGGACCTGATGCGAGTGGAGCCCCCCCCGGCCACGGTGGGGCCCAATGGGGAGATGGGGGGGGGGGGAGATCCCCCACACATCACTGGGTTCAATGGGGGGTCCCCTGTGTGTGTGTGTGTGCAGAAGGTGGAGGTGGATCAGAGGCTCTGCTGCCTCCAGGAGCTGAGGCTGACGGAGGAGAGGTACACGGAGACACTGGAGAAGATCTGTCAGGTGGGATGTGGGGTGGGATGTGGGGATGGGGTGTGGTGTGTGGGATGTGGGGTATGGGGTGCGGGGGTATGGGGTGCGGGGGTATGGGGTATGGGGTGTGGGGTGTGGGATGTGGGGTATGGGGGTATGGGGTATGGGGGTATGGGGTGTGGGGTATGGGGTGTGGGATTTGGGGTATGGGGTATGGGGTGTGGGGTATGGGGTATGGGGTTATTATGGGATATGGGGTATGGGGTGTGGGGTATGGGGTGTGGGATATGGGGTGTGGGGTGTGGGATATGGGGTGTGGGATATGGGGTATAGGGGTATGGGGTATGGGGTATGGGATATGGGGTATGGGGGACATGGGGGATGTGATGGGACATTGGGAACGCTGGGACCATGGGGATGTGTTGGGATATGGGGGGCATTGAGGACCCCGGGGACACTGAAGGTTGGAGGGGCAGGGAGCCTGGTCCCTGGGCATTGACCCCCAGTGCCCCCAGTGCTCCCCGTGCTCCCAGTGCTCCCAGTGCCCCCAGTGCTCCCAGTGCCCCCAGTGCCCCCAGTGCTCCCAGTGCTCCCAGTGACCCCAGTGCTCCCAGTGCTCCCAGTGCCCCCAGTGCCCCCAGTGCCCCCAGTGCTCCCAGTGCCCCCAGTGCTCCCAGTGCTCCCAGTGCTCCCAGTGCCCCCAGTGCTCCCAGTGCCCCCAGTGCCCCCAGTGCCCCCCCAGTGCTCCCAGTGCTCCCAGTGACCCCAGTTCCCCCAGTGACCCCAGTGCTCCCAGTGCCCCCCCCCAGTGCCCCCAGTGCCCCCAGTGCCCCCAGTGCTCCCAGTGCCCCCAGTGCTCCCAGTGACCCCAGTTCCCCCCCCCCCCCCCAGTACTTCCTGCGGCCGCTGCGGCACTTCCTGCAGCCCCAGGACCTGGAGAGCATCTTCATCAACATCGAGGTGAGCCCGTGACCCCCACTGAGCCCCCATTGCCCCCCATTGAGCCCCATTGCCCCCATTGAGCCCCCATTGCCCCCATTGAGCCCCCATTGCCCCCCATTGATTCCCCATTGCCCCGCATTGAGTCCCCATTGCCCCCATTCAGCCCCATTGCCCCTCACTGAGTCCCCATTGCCCCGCATTGAGCCCCATTGCACCCCATTGAGACCCCCTTGAGCCTCCATTGCCCCCATTGAGCCCCCATTGCCCCGTTGCCCCCCATTGAGCCCCCATTGCCCCCCCATTGAGCCCCCATTGCCCCCCATTGCCCCCCAGTGAGCCCCCGTTGTTCCATTGTCCCCATTGAACCCCATTGCCCCCCATTGAGCCTCATTGCTCCCCATTGAGCACCCATTCAGCCCCCATTGCCCCCCATTGCCCTCATTGCCCCCATTGCCCCATTGAGCCCCCATTGACCCCCATTGCCCCATTACCCCCATTGAGCCCCTGTTGCCCCCCATTGCCCCCCATTGAGCTCCCGTTGCTCCATTGCCCCATTGAGCCCCATTGCCCCCCATTGAACCTCATTGCTCCCCATTGAGCACCCATTTAGCCCCCATTGTCCCCCATTGCCCCCATTGAGCCCCCATTGCCCCATTGCCCCCATTGAGCCCCCATTGCCCCCCGTTGCCCCCCGTTGTGCCCGCATTGCCCCATTGCTCCATTGAGCCCCATTGCCCCCCATTGAACCTCATTGCTCCCCATTGAGCACCCATTCAGCCCCCATTTTCCCCCATTGCCCCCATTGCCCCCCATTGAACCTCATTGCTCCCCATTGAGCACCCATTCAGCCCCCATTTTCCCCCATTGCCCCCATTGACCCCCCATTGCCCCCCATTGCCCCCATTGAGCTCCCGTGGCTCCATTGCCCCATTGAGCCCCATTGCCCCCCATTGAACCTCATTGCTCCCCATTGAGCACCCATTCAGCCCCCATTGTCCCCCATTGCCCCCATTGAGCCCCCATTGCCCCATTACCCCCATTGAGCCCCCATTGGCCCCCATTGCCCCCCGTTGTGCCCGCATTGCCCCATTGCTCCATTGAGCCCCATTGCCCCCCATTGAACCTCATTGCTCCCCATTGAGCACCCATTCACCCCCCATTGTCCCCCATTGCCCCCATTGACCCCCCCAGTGCCCCAGAACCCCCATTGCCCCCTGTTGCCCCCATTGTGCCCGCATTGTCCCATTGCTCCATTGAGCCCCATTGCCCCCCATTGAACCTCATTGCTCCCCATTGAGCACCCATTCAGCCCCCATTGTCCTCCATTGCCCCCATTGAGCCCCCATTGCCCCCATTGAGCCCCCATTGCCCCCTGTTGCCCCCATTGTGCCCACATTGTCCCATTGCTCCATTGAGCCCCATTGCCCCCCATTGAACCTCATTGCTCCCCATTGAGCACCCATTCACCCCCCATTGTCCCCCATTGCCCCCATTGACCCCCCCATTGCCCCATAACCCCCATTGCCCCCCATTGCCCCCTGCCCCACAGGACCTGCTGCAGCTGCACCGGCTCTTCCTGGGGGAGCTGCGGGAGGCACTTGGGGGGCCCGGGGGGGCCCGAGGGCTGCCCCCCCTTTTCTTGGCCTACAAGGAGAGGTGAGGGGCACTGGGGGGCAATGGGGGGTAATGGGGGGCAATGGGGGCTCAATGGGGGTAATGGGGGCAATGGGGGTCAATGGGGGTAATGGGGGTCAGTGGGGGGCAATGGGGGTAATGGGGGTAATGGGGGCAATGGGGGTAATGGGGGCAATGGGGGCTCAATGGGGGGCAATGGGGGCTCAATGGGGGTAATGGGGGCTCAATGGGGGCAATGGGGAACCCAGGGAGGTTCTGGGGGAACACTTTGAGTGCATTTGGGTGGGGGTTTGGGTCCATTTGGGTCCATTTTGGGTTCAATTGGGTGGATTTTGGGTCCATTTGGGTCCATTTGGGTGGGGTTTGGGTCCATTTGGGTCCATTTGAATGGGCTTTGGGTCCATTTGGGTGGATTTGGGGTCTATTTGGGTCCATTTGGGTGGATTTGGGGTCCATTTGGGTGGGTTTTGGGTCTATTTCAGTCCATTTTGGGTTCAATTGGGTGGATTTGGGGTCCATTTGGGTCCATTTGGGTCCACGTGGGTGGGGTTTGGGTCCATTTGAGTGGGGTTTGGGTCAATTTGAGTCCATTTTGGGTCCAATTGGGTGGATTTTGGGTCCATTTCGGTCCATTTGGGTGGGGTTTGGGTCCATTTGGGTGCATTTGGGGTCCATTTGGGTCCATTTGGGTGGATTTTGGGTCCATTTGGGTGGATTTTTGGCTCCATTGGGTCCATTTGGGTGGATTTTGGGTCCATTTGGGTCGATTTGGATGGGGTTTGGGTGCATTTGGGTTCATTTGGGTGGATTTTGGGTCCATTTCAGTCCATTTGGGTTCAGTTTGGGTCCATTTGGATGGGGTTTGGGTGCATTTGGGTTCATTTGGGTGGATTTGGGTCCATTTTGGGTCCATTTGGGTGCATTTTGGGTCCATTTGAGTCCATTTGGGTGGATTTTGGGTCCATTTTGGTCCATTTGGGTGGATTTTGGGTCCATTTGAGTCCATTTGGGTGGATTTTGGGTCCATTTTGGTCCATTTGGGTGGATTTTGGGTCCATTTGGGTGGATTTTGGGTCAATTAGGGTCCATTTTGAGTCCATTTTGGTGGATTTTGGGTCCATTTGGGTCCATTTTGGGTCCATTTTGGTGGATTTTGGGTCCATTTTGGGTCCATTTGGGTGGGTTTTGGCTCCATTTGGGTGGATTTTTGGTCCATTTCAGTCCATTTGGGTCCATTTTGGGTCCATTTGGGTGGGTTTTGGCTCCATTTGGGTCCATTTGGGCACCGTTGGCCTCTCCCCCCCCAGGTTCCTGCTCTACGGCCGCTACTGCAGCCAAGTGGAAGCGGCCGCGCGGCGCCTGGAGCATCTCTCCTCCAGCACCGACCTGCACATGAAGCTGCAGGTGGGGAAGGGGACCCCATAGAGACCCATAGGGGCCATAGAGACCCATGGAGACCGTAGAGACCATTGAGACCATAGACACTATAGATACCGTAGACACCCATAGACACCCATAGACACCCATAGACATCCGTAGACACCCATAGACATCCATAGACACCCATAGACACCACAGACACCATAGACATCCATAGATACCATTGAGACCATAGACACCATAGATACCATAGACACCCATAGACACCCATAGACATCCATAGACACCCATAGACATCCATAGACACCCATAGACACCCATAGACACCCATAGACACCCATAGACACCCATAGACACCACAGACACCATAGACATCCATAGATACCATTGAGACCATAGACACCATAGATACCATAGACACCCATAGACACCCATAGACATCCATAGACACCCATAGACACCCATAGACACCCATAGACACCCATAGACACTCATAGACATCCATAGACACCCATAGACATCCATAGACACCCATAGACACCCATAGACACCCATAGACACTCATAGACATCCATAGACACCCATAGACATCCATAGACACCCATAGACACCCATAGACACCACAGACACCATAGACATCCATAGACACCATTGAGACCATAGACACCATAGATACCATAGACACCCATAGACACCCATAGACATCCATAGACACCCATAGACACCCATAGACATCCATAGACATCCACAGGCACCCATAGACACCACAGACACCATAGACACCCATAGACACCATTGAGACCATAGTCACCATAGATACCATAGACACCCATAGACACCCATAGACATCCATAGGCACCCATAGACATCCATAGACACCCATAGACATCCATAGACACCCATAGACACCCATAGACATCCACAGGCACCCATAGACACCACAGACACCATAGACACCCATAGACACCATTGAGACCATAGTCACCATAGATACCATAGACACCCATAGACACCCATAGACATCCATAGGCACCCATAGACACCCATAGACAGACACCCACAGACACCCATAGACATCCATAGACACCCATAGACCCATAGAACCCTCCCAGCACCTCCATGTCCTCCCATCCCTCATGTCCCCCATGTCCCCATAGCCTCCTCCAGCACCCCCATGACCCCAAACCCCCCAGACTCCCCAATCCCTATACCCCCCATTACCCCCCATAACCCCCCATGTCCCCTGTGACCCCCATGTCCCTGTGCCCCCCAGGAGTGCTCCCAACGAGCCAACAATGGGCACTTCTCCCTCCGGGACCTGCTGATGGTGCCGATGCAGCGGGTGCTCAAGTACCACCTCCTGCTGCAGGTGTGCCCATGGGGGCAATGGGGCAATCGGGACAAGGGGCGTAATGGGGGCAACGGGGGCAATGGGGGTAATGGGGGTATTAGGGGCAATGAGGGTAATGGGGCAATGGGGTTAATGGGGTAATGGGGCAATGGGGTAATGGGGGTAATGGGGTAATGGGGTAATGGGGGTAATGGGGGCAATGGGGGTAATGGGGGAAATGGATGTAATGGGGGGGGGCAATGGGGCAATGGGTGCAGTGGGGCAATGGGGTTAATGGGGGTAATGGGGGCAATGGGGGTAATGGGGTAATTGGGTAATGGGGGTAATGGGGGCAATGGGGGAAATGGGGGAAATGGATGTAATGGGGGCAATGGGGACAGTGGGGTAATGGGGCAATGGGTGCAATGGGGGTAATGGGGGCAATGAGGGCAATGGGGTAATGGGGGTAATGGGGGCAATGGGGACAGTGGGGTAATGGGGCAATGGGGACAGTGGGGTAATGGGGCAATGGGTGATAATGGGGGCAATGGGGGCAATGGGGTAATGGGGGTAATGGGGAACAATGGGGGTAATGGGGTAAAGGGGGTAATGGGGAGCAATGGGGGAAATGTAGTAAATTGGGCAAATGGTGACAGGGGGGTAATGGGGTTAATGGGGTAATGGGGGCAATGGAGGTAATGGGGGCAATGGGGTTAATGGGCTAATGGGGTTAATGGGGGTAATGGGGGTAATGGGGGTAATAGGGTTAATGAGGGCCATGGGGGCAATGGGGTTAACGGGGTAATGGGGTTAATGAGGGCAATGAGGGGTAATGGGGGCAATGGAGGCAATGGGGCCAATGGAGCAATGGGGGTCACCAAGGCTCCATGGAGCACCCTTGGGTCCATCCGTTTGGGGTATCCATGGGTCCCTTGGGGAGGGGGGGACCCTGGTCCCCACCGAGGGGTTTCCCTGGTATCCCTTTGGGACTGCTTTGGGATGGGGTGGGCCCATTCCTGCCCCCTCATCCCGGCCCCATAGGAGCTGGTGAAGTTGACCCCAGACCCAGCTGAGAAGGAGAGGCTGAAGGTGGCCCTGGATGCAATGAGAGTGGGTCCGGGGGGGGTCTTTGGGGGGGTCCTTTGGGGTCCTATGGGGCTCTTGGAGTGGCTGGGGGGGTCTTGAGGAGGTTTGGGGCGGTCCTATGGGGTGTTTGGAGGGGTCCTGATTGGGTCCTGGGGGTGCCAATGGGTCCTTTGGGGGGGTCCTGAGGGGGTCTTGGGGGTCTCAATGGGTCCTTTGGGGGGGTCCTGAGGGGGTCTTGGGGGTCTCAATGGGTCCTTTGGGGGGGTTCTGAGGGGGTCTTGGGGGTCTCAATGGGTCCTGTGGGGGTCCAATGGGTCCTTGGGGGTCCCAATGGGTCCTGACGGGGTCTGAGGGGGTCTTGGGGAGGGCTCTTGGGGATCCCAATGGGTCCATTGGGGGCTCCCATTGGGTCCTTTGGGGGGGTCCAGATGGGGTCTTGGGGGTCCCAATGGGTCCTTTGGGGGGGTCCTGAGGGGCTCTTGGGGATCCCAATGGGTCTTTGGGGGGGTCCTGATGCGGGCTTGGGGGTCCCAATGGGTCCTTTGGGGGGGTCCTGAGGGGGTCTTGGGGGTCTCAATGGGTCCTTTGGGGGGGTCCTGAGTGGGTCCTGGAGGGCTCCCATTGGGTCCTCTGAGGGGGTTCTGAGGGGGTCTTGGGGGTCCCAATGGGTCCTTTTAGGGGGTCCTAAGGGGGTCTTGGGGGTCCCAATGGGTCCTTTTTGGGGGGGTCCTGAGGGGGTCTTGGGGATCCCAATGGGTCCTTTGGGGGGGTCCAGATGGGGTCTTGGGGGCCCAATGGGTCCTTTGGGGGGGTCCTAAGGGGGTCTTGGGGGTCACAATGGGTCCTTTGGGGGGGGTCCTGGGGGGGGGTCCTTTTAGGGGGAGGGGGTCTTGGGGATCCCAATGGGTCCTTTGAGGGGGGGTCCTCAGGGGGCTTGGGGGTCTCCCATTGGGTTTTGGGGTAGGCAGGAGGAGGCTGGGATAAATGGGGGGCGCATTGGGGGCTTCCTATGGGGGGCATTGGGGCACTTGGGGGTCTTGGGTGTACTTGTGGGTCCGGGGGGGGGGGGGAGGTCCCTGACGCTGCCCCCCAGGACCTGGCGCAATGCGTGAACGAGGTGAAACGGGACAACGAGACCCTGAAGCAGCTCACGAGCGTCCAGCTTTGCCTCCATAACATGGTGGGGTTCCCCCCCCAGAGCCCACCCCCCAACCCCAACACCCCATGGGGCCCCACACGCACCCCATAGCACCCCCTATCCCCCCCGTCCCCCACCTCCAGCCGCAGTCCCTGGCACAGTTTGGGCGCCTCAAGATCGATGGAGAACTGAAGGTGTCCAGCACGGAGCGGAGATCCAGGGTGGACAGGTAGGGGGGTGAGGGACAGCAAGGGGTCAACATGTACCCCATATCCCATACCCCATATCCCATACCCCATACCCCATATCCCATATCCCATATCCCATATCCCATACCCCATATCCCATATTCCATACCGTATACCCCATATCTCATACCCCATATTCCATACCCCATACCCCATACCCCATATTCCATACCCCATACCCCATATCCCATATCCCATACCCCATATCCCATACCCCATACCCCATACCCCATACCCCATACACCATACCCCATACCCCATACCTCATATCCCATACCCCATACCCCCCACCCCATATCCCATACCCCATACCCCATATTCCATACCCCATACCCCATATCTCATACCCCATATCCCATACCCCATATCCCAAACCCCATACCCCATATTCCATACCCCATACCCCATATCCCATATCCCAAATCCCATACCCCATACTCCATACCCCATATCCCAAACCCCATATCCCATATCCCAAACCCCATCCCATACCCCATACCCCATGCCCCATGCCCCACACCCCACACCCCATATCCCATATCCCACACCCCACACCCTGTACCCCATATTCCATATCCCATACCCCATACCCCATACCCCACATCCCATACCCCACACCCCACACCCCATATCCCAGGTACGGATTCCTCCTGGACAAGGCTCTCATCATCTGCAAGCGCCGGGGGGACTCCTATGAGGCCAAGGACGTGGTGGACCTGCAGAGCCACCAAGTGCGGGATGGGGGCATCAGCGCCCGCGACGGCAAGAAGGTACCTGGATCCCAGTGGATCCCAGTGTCCATGTCCATGGTGGCCCCGAGCATCCAGGTCTGGTGGATCCCAGTGTCCATGTCCATGGTGGCCCCGAGCATCCAGGTCTGGTGGATCCCAGTATCCATGTCCATGGAGATCCTGAGCATCCAGGTCTGGTGGATCCCAGTATCCATGTCCATGGTGGCCCCGAGCATCCAGGTCTGGTGGATCCCAGTATCCATGTCCACGGTGGCCCCGAGCATCCAGGTCTGGTGGATCCCAGTATCCATGTCCATGGGGATCCTGAGCATCCAGGTCTGGTGGATCCCAGTGTCCATGTCCATGGTGGCCCCGAGCATCCAGGTCTGGTGGATCCCAGTATCCATGTCCATGGTGGCCCCGAGCATCCAGGTCTGGTGGATCCCAGTATCCATGTCCATGGAGATCCTGAGCATCCAGGTCTGGTGGATCCCAGTATCCATGTCCATGGAGATCCCGAGCATCCAGGTCTGGTGGATCCCAGTATCCATGTCCATGGAGATCCTGAGCATCCAGGTCTGGTGGATCCCAGTATCCATGTCCATGGAGATCCTGAGCACCCAGGTCTGGTGGATCCCAGGATCCATGTCCATGGAAATCCTGAGCATCCAGGTCTGGTGGATCCCAGTACCCACGTCCATGGTGGGCTCCAGCATCCATATACCAAGTATCCATGTCCATCGTGGACACACAGAAACCTGGATATGGTCTCCATTGATGTCCCCATTGACGTCCCCATTGATGTCCCCAGTGATGTCCCTATTGATGTCCTCAGTGATGTCCCCATTGATGCCCCAGTAATGTCCTACTGATGCTCCAGTGATGTCCCCAGTGATGTTCCCATTGATGCCCCATTGATGCCACATAGATGCCCCAGTGATGTCCCCAGTGATGCCCCCATTGATGTCCCCAGTGATGTCCCCATTGATGTTCCCATTGGTGCCCCAGAGATGCCCCCATTGATGTCCCCATTGATATCTCCATTAATGTCCCCATTGACGTCCCCATTGATGCCCCAGTGATGTCCCCAGTGATGTCCCCATTGATGTCCTCATTGATGCCCCGGTGATGTCCCAAATTATATCCCAGTAACGTCCCCATAGATGCCCCAGTGATGTCCCATTGATGTCCCCAGTGATGCCCCCATTGATGCCACATAGATGCCCCAGTGATGTCCCCATTGATGCCCCAGTGATGCCCCAGTGATGTCCCCAGTGATGTCCCCATTGATGTCCTCATTGATGCCCCGGTGATGTCCCACATTATATCCCAGTAACGTCCCCATAGATGCCCCAGTGATGTCCCATTGATGTCCCCAGTGATGTCCCAGTGATGCCCCCATTGATGCCCCCATTGATGCCCCAGTGTTGGGGTGCTGCTGACCCCATTGTCCCCACAGTGGACCCACACGTTCCTGCTCATCGAGGCTGGAGGTCTCCAGGGCTACGAGCTCTTCTTCAAGACCCATGAGCTGAAGAAGAAGTGGCTGGAGCAGTTCGAGATGGCCCTGTAGGTGCACCCAAGGGTGGTGGTGGGGGGACATCGCCCATTGGGGTCCGGATGGTCCTTGGGGGTCAATGGTGTGTGTGTCCACTCCACACACATTGTCCTGCCAGGTCCAACATCTTCCCTGAGCACGCGCTGGCGGATGGACATGAATTCCAGATGTTCTCCTTCGAGGACACCACGTCCTGCAGGGCCTGCCAGATGTTGCTGAGGTGGGAGCCCAAAGCCACGTCACCCATCCCATAATGGCCCCGACCCATCCCATGATGCCCTGCACCCATCCCATAATATCCCCAACCCATCCCATGATAGCCCACACCCTTCCCATGATGTCCCTCACCCATCCCATGATGTCCCTCACCCATCCCATGATGTCCCCTACCCATCCATGTCATTAGGCATCCATCCCATGGTGGGTGCAAGGTGGGTCCATGGGTGGGTGCAAGGGTGGTCCATGGATGGGTGCAAGGTGGGTCCATGGGTGGGTGCAAGGTGGGTCCATGATCGATGGGTGCAAGGTGGGTCCATGGGTGCATGCAAGGTGGGTCCATGGATGGGTGCAAGGTGGGTCCATAGATGGGTGCCAGTTGGGTCCATGGGTGGGTGCAAGGTGGGTGCAAGGTGGGTCCATGGGTGGGTGCAAGGTGGGTCCATGGGTGGTTGCAAGGAGGCTCCATGGATGGGTGCAAGGGGGCTCCATGGATGGGTGCAAGGTGGGTCCATGGATGGGTGCAAGGTGGGTCCATGGGTGAGTGCAAGGTGGGTCCACGGATGGGTGCAAGGTGGGTCCATGTGTGGATGCAAGGAGGTTCCATGGGTGGGTGCAAGGTGGGTCCATGGATGGGTGCAAGGTGGGTCCATGGATGGGTGCAAGGTGGGTCCATGGGTGGGTGCATGGCGGGTCCATGATCGATGGGTGCAAGGTGGGTCCATGATCGATGGGTGCAAGGTGGGTCCATGATTGATGGGTGCAAGGTGGGTCCATGGGTGCATGCAAGGTGAGTCCATGGATGGGTGCAAGGTGGGTCCATAGGTGGGTGCCAGTTGGGTCCATGGGTGGGTGCAAGGTGGGTCCGTGGGTGGGTGCAAGGGGGCTCCATGGATGGGTGCAAGGTGGGTCCATGGGTGGGTGCAAGGTGGGTCCATGGGTGGGTGCAAGGTGGGTCCATGGATGGGTGCAAGGTGGGTCCATGATGGATGGGTGCAAGGAGGCTCCATGGGTGGGTGCAAGGGGGCTCCATGGGTGGGTGCAAGGTGGGTCCATGATGGATGGGTGCAAGGAGGCTCCATGGGTGGGTGCAAGGGGGCTCCATGGGTGGGTGCAAGGAGGCTCCATGGATGGGTGCAAGGGGGCTCCATGGATGGGTGCAAGGTGGGTCCATGGATGGGTGCAAGGTGGGTCCATGGGTGGGTGCAAGGGGGGTCCATGGATGGATGCAAGGAGGCTCCATGGGTGGGTGCAAGGTGGGTCCATGATGGATGGGTGCAAGGTGGGTCCATGGGTGGGTGCAAGGTGGGTCCATGATGGATGGGTGCAAGGTGGGTCCATGGGTGGGTGCAAGGTGGCTCCATGGATGGGTGCAAGGTGGGTCCATGGATGGGTGCAAGGTGGGTCCATGGGTGGGTGCAAGGGGGCTCCAGGGGTGGGTGCAAGGAGGCTCCATGGATGGGCGCAAGGTGGGTCCATGGATGGGTGCAAGGTGGGTCCATGGATGGGTGCACGGTGGGTCCATGGGTGGGTGCAAGGGGGCTCCAGGGGTGGGTGCAAGGAGGCTCCATGGATGGGTGCAAGGTGGGTCCATGGAGGTGGGTCCAGGCTCCATGGATGGGTGCAAGGGGGCTCCATGGATGGGTGCAAGGGGGCTCCATGGGTGGGTGCAAGGGGGCTCCATGGATGGGTGCAAGGGGGCTCCATGGGTGGGTGCAAGGTGTGTCCGTGGATGGGTGCAGGTTGGGTCCATGGATGGGTGCAAGGTGGGCCCATGGGTGGGTGCAAGGAGTCTCCATGGATGAGCGCAAGGGGGCTCCATGGATGAGTGCAAGGGGGCTCCATGGATGGGTGCAAGGGGGCTCCATGGGTGGGTGCAAGGGGGCTCCATGGGTGGGTGCAAGGTGGGTTCATGGGTGGATGCAAGGAGGTTCCATGGGTGGGTGCAAGGGGGCTCCATGGGTGGGTGCAAGGTGGGTCCATGGGTGGATGCAAGGAGGTTCCATGGGTGGGTGCAAGGAGGCTCCATGGATGGGTGTAAGGGGGCTCCATGGATGGGTGCAAGGTGGGTCCATGGATGGGTGCAAGGTGGGTCCATGGGTGGGTGCAAGTTGGGTCCACGGATGGGTGCAAGGTAGGTCCATGGGTGGGTGCAAGGGGGCTCCAGGGGTGGGTGCAAGGAGGCTCCATGGGTGGGTGCAAGGTGGGCCCATGGATGGGTGCAAGGGTGGTCCATGGATGGGTGCAAGGTGGGTCCATGGATGGGTGCAAGGTGGGTCCATGGGTGGGTGCATGGCGGGTCCATGATCGATGGGTGCAAGGTGGGTCCATGATTGATGGGTGCAAGGTGGGTCCATGGATGGGTGCAAGGTGGGTCCATAGGTGGGTGCCAGTTGGGTCCATGGGTGGGTGCAAGGTGGGTCCGTGGGTGGGTGCAAGGGGGCTCCATGGATGGGTGCAAGGTGGGTCCATGGGTGGGTGCAAGGTGGGTCCATGGGTGGGTGCAAGGTGGGTCCATGGATGGGTGCAAGGAGGCTCCATGGGTGGGTGCAAGGTGGGTCCATGGATGGGTGCAAGGTGGGTCCATGGATGGGTGCAAGGTGGGTCCATAGATGGGTGCCAGTTGGGTCCATGGGTGGGTGCAAGGTGGGTGCAAGGAGGCTCCATGGATGGGTGCAAGGTAGGTCCATGGGTGGGTGCAAGGGGGCTCCATGGATGGGTGCAAGTGGGCTCCATGGGTGGGTGCAAGGGGGCTCCATGGATGGGTGCAAGGGGGCTCCATGGGTGGGTGCAAGGTGTGTCCGTGGATGGGTGCAGGTTGGGTCCATGGATGGGTGCAAGGTGGGCCCATGGGTGGGTGCAAGGTGGGCCCATGGGTGGGTGCAAGGAGTCTCCATGGATGAGCGCAAGGGGGCTCCATGGATGGGTGCAAGGGGGCTCCATGGATGGGTGCAAGGGGGCTCCATGGGTGGGTGCAAGGTGGGTTCATGGGTGGATGCAAGGAGGTTCCATGGGTGGGTGCAAGGGGGCTCCATGGGTGGGTGCAAGGTGGGTCCATGGATGGGTGCAAGGTGGGTCCATGGGTGGATGCAAGGAGGTTCCATGGGTGGGTGCAAGGTGGTCCATGGGTGGGTGCAAGGAGGCTCCATGGATGGGTGTAAGGGGGCTCCATGGATTGTGCAAGGGGGCTCCATGGATGGGTGCAAGGTGGGTCCATGGATGGGTGCAAGGTGGGTCCATGATGGATGGGTGCAAGGAGGCTCCATGGGTGGGTGCAAGGGGGCTCCATGGGTGGGTGCAAGGAGGCTCCATGGGTGGGTGCAAGGGGGCTCCATGGGTGGGTGCAAGGTGGGTCCATGATGGATGGGTGCAAGGAGGCTCCATGGGTGGGTGCAAGGGGGCTCCATGGGTGGGTGCAAGGTGGGTCCATGGGTGGGTGCAAGGTGAGTCCATGGATGGGTGCAAGGTGGGTCCTTGGGTGGGTGCATGGTGGGTCCATGATGGATGGGTGCAAGGTGGGTCCATGGATGGGTGCAAGGTGGGTCCATGGATGGGTGCAAGGTGGGTCCATGGATGGGTGCAAGGAGGCTCCATGGGTGGGTGCAAGGGGGCTCCATGGGTCCATCCCCATGGCCCCCATGCCGCTGTCCCCAGGGGCACGTTCTACCAGGGCTATCGCTGCAGCCGGTGCCGGGCCCCCGCGCACAAGGAATGTCTGGGGCGGGTTGGGACCTGCGGTAGGGCCAGCACCGGTGAGAGCCAGGAATGGGGTGGGAAACGAGGGGATTGGGGGGGGGATATCATGGGATGGGGTTGGGATCATCATGGGATGGGTGAGGGGCATCATGGGATGGGATCATCATGGGATGGGGTGGGATCATCATGGGATGGGGTGGGATCATCATGGGATGGGTGAGGGTCATCATGGGATGGGGTGGGATTGTGATGGGATGGGTTGGGATCATCATGGGATGGATTGGGATCACCATGGGATGGGTTGGGATCATCATGGGATGGGTGTGGGATATCATGGGATGGGTTGGGATCACCATGGGATGGGTTAGGTTCTTCATGGGATGGGTTGGGATCATCATGGGATGGGTTAGGTTCTTCATGGGATGGGTTGGGATCATCATGGGATGGGTTGGGATCATCATGGGATGGGTTAGGTTCTTCATGGGATGGGTTGGGATCATCATGGGATGGGTTGGGATCATCATGGGATGGGGTGGGATCACCATGGGATGGTTTGGGATCATCATGGTATGGGTGTGGGATCATCATGGGATGGGCATGGAATGTCATGGGTGGAGAACGGGACACTGTGGGATTGAAGCAGCCCCCCATGGACGTGGATGGGGATAGAGGTGCCCTGGCTGGGGCAATCATGGACCTCCCCATCCATGACGCCCCCCAGCATTTCTTATGGGGATGCCCCCCCCCAGATGACTCCTTCCCTCTTCCCCCCACAGATTCCAACTCCGGCCCCAGGAAGGTACCAGGACAATGGGTCCGGATGGGCTCAGATTCCCCACATTGCGAATGGGGAGACCCTGGGGGGGGGGGATCTGTGTCCACCCCCCCCCCCCCCCCCCCCAAGGGGCTCATTGGGGTCTCCTTGATCCCCAGAACAAGCCCCAGCGGCCAGGCCCTGAGAAGGAGAGAGGAGGACTTGGTGAGGCCATGGAGGCTGGGGGGCAGAGGGGGAGGTTGTGGGGCTGGGGGGGGGGTAGAGGTGAGGGCTCCGTGCCCCACATGTCCCATTTCACCCCCCACATTGGGTTCTCTCCTCCAGGGTTGCCCAAGATGGAAGCCCATCAGCCCTATAGCGGGGTCCCCCCACCACCGGGCGCTATGGGGCCGGGCCTGCGCCTCAGCCCTGGGGACGTCCTGGAGGTCACCGTGGCCGAGGCGGAGCAGCTCTGGTGGCAGGTGGAGATGGAGCCCCACGGATGTGGGGGGCAGGATCTGATCTGTGGGGCAGAGCGCTATGGCCACGATGGGTGGATCTCCTCTATGGGGCAGAGCACTGTGGCCACGATGGATGGATCTCCTCTATGGGGCAGAGAACTATGGCCACGATGGATGGATCTCCTCTATGGGGCAGAGCACTATGGCCACGATGGGTGGATCTCCTCTATGGGGCAGTGCACTGTGGCCACGATGGGTGGATCTCCTCTATGGGGCAGAGAACTATGGCCACGATGGGTGGATCTCCTCTATGGGGCAGAGCACTGTGGCCACGATGGGTGGATCTCCTCTATGGGGCAGAGCGCTATGGCCACGATGGGTGGATCTCCTCTATGGGGCAGAGCGCTATGGCCACGATGGGTGGATCTCCTCTATGGGGCAGAGCACCGTGGCCACGATGGGTGGATCTCCTCTATGGGGCCCCTCCATCCTCTATGGGGCAGAGGAACCCCTTTGGCCCCACGGCTCCTTCCTCCATAGGGCCGGAACATGGCCACCGGTGACCTGGGCTGGTTCCCCTGTGCTGCTGTGAAACCCTTCATCTGCGTGAGTTGGGGGTCCCAGCACCCACTGGGGTCCTTGGGGGGGGCTCTATGGGGCGGGGGGGGGAGCTCTATGGGGCATGGGGAGGGCTCATCCCCTCCTTGGTCCCCAACTCTACTCTTCCCCCCCCCCAGGTGCCGCTGCCGGATCTCTCCATCTACCCCTGGTTGGTGTTGGGGAACCCCCCCATTCGCTATGGGGTGCCCCAAAGGGTCACCCCAGGCCCATTGCTGGGGTCCATTCCCCCCATTGCCCCAGGGCACCGCCCCCATCCCTTTTGGGGTCACCCCAAAGCCTTTCCTTCTTCTTGGGGGCTCTTCAAATCCTTTCCTGAGGTCTCTCAAATCCCTCCTTGGGTCCCCCATTCCCATTAGGATCACCCCAAATCCCTCCTCAGGGTCCCCATTCCCATTGGGATCACCCCAAATCCCTCCTTGGGTCCCCCATTCCCATTGGGATCACCCCAAATCCCTCCTCAGGGTTCCCATTAGGATCACCCCAAATCCCTCCTTGGGTCCCCCATTCCCATTGGGATCACCCCAAATCCCTCCTCAGGGTGACCTCAGGACCCCCTTTGGAGCCCCTCATCCCTCACCCCATAGCAATGAGGCACCCCAAATCCTCCTCTTGCTGATGTCCCACCACGTCCTTCCCCCCCCATTGTATCCCACCCCATTGCCCATCCCTGCTATTATCCCAATGGAATGATCCCAGATGGGGTAGGAGGGATGTTGGGGGTCGGGGGGGGGGGGGGGGGGGGGCTCAGGATGGATCCATGGGTCCCACCCCAGGTACGCCGGCCCCATGGAGCGGGCGGAAGCGGAGCAGCTCCTTGCATCCCGCTCCGACGGCTCCTTCCTGGTGCGGCAGCGGGTGAAGGATGCGGCCGAGTTCGCCATCAGCATCAAGTAGGGAGCTTGGGGGGCATCGTTGGGGTGGATGGAGGTGGGGGGGGGAACGGGGACACACAATGGGGTGGGGGGAACCCCTTTTGGGCTCATCCCATCGCACCCCATGGGCAGGTACCATGGGGAGGTGAAGCACATCAAGGTGATGACGGCGGACGGGCTCTACCGCGTCACCGAGAAGAAGGCGTTCAAGGGGCTGGTGGTGAGTGTTGGGATCCTCCCCCCCCCCCCCCCCCAACCATGGTGACCCCCACGTTGGGTTGGGGGTCTGGGGTGCTCACGTTGGACCACGCTGCCCATAGGAGCTGGTGGGGTTCTACCAGCGCAGCTCGCTCAAGGATGGCTTCAAGGCGTTGGACACGGCGTTAGTGGTGCCCTTCAAGGAGCCCGAGAGTAGGGATGGAGCCCGGGCAGAGGGTAGGATGTGGGGAGCAGGTGGGGATGGAGGTGGTGGGGATGGAGGGGGTGGGGGGGGGGATAGGTGGTGGGATGGAGGTGGGGGATAGAGGTGGTGGGATGGAGGGGGTGGGATGGAGGTGGGATGGAGGTGGTGGGATGGAGGTGGGATGGAGGTGGGATGGAGGTGGTGGGATGGAGGTGGTGGGATGGAGGTGAAGGGATGGAGGAGGTGGGATGCAGGGGGTTGGATGGAGGTGGTGGGATGGAGGAGGTGGGATGGAGGTGGGATGGAGGTGGGATGGAGGTGGGTGGAGGTGGTGGGATGGAGGTGGGATGGAGGTGGGATGGAGGTGGTGGGATGGAGGTGGGATGGAGGTGGTGGGATGGAGGTGGTGGGATGGAGGTGGTGGGATGGAGGTGAAGGGATGGAGGGGGTGGGATGCAGGGGGTTGGATGGAGGTGGTGATGGAGGTGGTGGGATGGAGGTGGGATGGAGGTGGTGGGATGGAGGTGGGATGGAGGTGGTGGGATGGAGGTGGGATGGAGGTGGTGGGATGGAGGTGGTGGGATGGAGGTGGGATGGAGGGGGTGTGATGGAGGTGGTGGGATGGAGGTGGGATGGAGGTGGGATGGAGGTGGTGGGATGGTGATGGAATGGAGGTGGTGGGATGGAGGTGGTGGGATGGAGGTGGGTATGATGGGAATGGAGTTGAAGTGGATGCAGTGGAGATGGGATGGACATTGTGAGTCGGTGATAACCAAGAGCTGGTCTGAGGGATCCGCGATGGGATGATTCCAGTAGGGACCAACTGCCAAGAGGGACAACAGCCAAGAGGGACAAGTTGGGTTCTGGTGACACGTCAATGGAGGTGGCCAAGGGCTGGGTTGGGGGACAGCCAATGGGGCAGCCAAGGGGGCACAAATGGACCAGATGGAGAGGACTTGGACATGGAGGGGATGAGCTGGAGGGACTCATCCATATCCATGTCCATGTCCGTATCCATGTGTCCATGTCCATGTCCATGTCCGTAACCATGTGTCCATATCTTTGTTCATGTCCGTATCCATGTGTCCATATCCATGTCCATGTCCATATCCATGTGTCCATACCCATGTCCATGTCCGTATCCATGTGTCCATATCCATGTCCATGTCCGTATCCATGTGTCCATATCCATGTCCATGTCCATATCCATGTGTCCATATCCATGTCCATGTCCGTATCCATGTGTCCATGTCTGTGTCCATGTCCATCTCCAGGTGCCGTGCGCAGCTTTGGCTCAGCCAAGGCTCGCTACGACTTCAGCGCCCGGGACCGGACGGAGCTGACGCTGCGGGAGGGGGACATCGTGCGGGTGCTGAGCAAGAAGGGGCACCCAGGGTGGTGGAAAGGGGAGGTCTATGGACGGGTACGGCCCCGGCCCCACCGCGGCCCCACAGTGGCCATCAGCATCCTCCAACCTCCATCAGCACCCTCCAACCTCTATCAGCATCCTCCCACCTCCATCCACATTCCCCAAACTCTTCCCACCTTCTCCCAACCTCTTTCCACCTTCTCCCAACCTCTTCCCACCTTCTCCCAACCTCATCCCATCTCCTCCAAACCTCATCCCACCTTCTCCCAACCTCTTCCCACCTCTTCCCAACCTCTTCCCACCTTCTCCCAACCTCTTCCCAACCTCTTCCCACCTCTTCCCAACCATTTCCCACCTCTTCCCAATCTCTTCCCACCTTATCCAACCTCTTCCCACCTTCTCCCAACCTCTTCCCAACCTCTTCCCACCTTCTGACAACCTCTTCCCAACCTCTTTCTACCTTTTCCCAACCTCTTCCCACCTTCTCTCAACCTCTTCCCAACCTCTTCCAACCTCTTCCCAACCCTTTCCCACCTCTTCCCAACCTCTTCTCACCTTCTCCCAACCTCTTCCCACCTTCTCCCAACCTCTTCCCACCTCTTCCCAACCTCCTCCCAACCCTTTCCCACCTCTTCCCAACCTCTTCCCACCTTCTGACAACCTCTTCCCACCTTTTCCCAACATCTTCCCACCTTCTCCAACCTCTTCCCCCTTTCTCCCAACCTCTTCCCACCTCCTCCCAACCCTTCTCCCAACATCTCCCTCTTTCCCAGGTCGGATGGTTCCCAGCCAACTACGTGGAAGAGGATTACTCGGAATACTGCTGACCATGTATGGATCCTCACCCATCCCACCCTGCCTCCTATGGCCCCACCACTGTCCCCATGTTAACTTATGCCTCCTCCTGCCCTGGAGGGACAATAAACAGGGATCAGATCCCATGGGAAGAGGCCGGGATGAGGCCATGGGATTGGGATCGATCTTTCCTGGAAGGGACCCAATGTCCGGGCAGGCACCGAGGTCAAGGCTGGAGCGGTTGGAGCCGCTGGGAATAAGCTTGGGAATGAGGCCATGGAAGGGGGGAAAGGCTCCAGAAAGGGACCTGGATGTGGGGACCCATCCCTGCAGCTCCATGCAATGAACTGCGCCGGTCTCAGCACACAACGGGGGGGATTGGGGTCTTGAGACCCAAAAAGGGGGGGTTGAGACCCAAAAATGGGGGCTTTGTGACCCAAAATAAGGGGTTGAGACCAAAAAAAGGGCAGCTTGAGACCCAAAAAAGGGGGGTTGAGACCCAAAAGGGGTTTTGAGACCCCAAAAAGGGGATTTGAGACCCAAAATGGGCATCTTGAACTCCTAAAAGGGGTATTTTAGACCCAGGAAAGGGGTTGAGACCCAAAAATGAGGTTGAAAACCCAAGAAGGGGAGGTTGAGACCCAAAAATGGGAGGGGGGGGGTAGACCCAGATTGTGGTTTGACACCCCAAATTTGGTGTTCAGACCCCAAAATGGGGGTTTTAGACCCAAAAAGGGGAGTTTGAGACCCAAAAATTGGAATTGAGAACCAAAAGGGGGGGTTGAGACCCAAAAATGGGGTTTTGAGACTCGGAAGAGGGGCTTTTAGCCCCCCAAATGGAGATTGAGACCCAAAAAGGGGAGTTTGAGACCCAAAATGGAGGGTTAAGACCCAAAAATGAAGGGTTGAGTTTAGCCCCCAAAAGGGGGTCTGAGTCCCCCAAAAGGGGTTCTGCATACCCTACGAGCAGTTGCACCCCAAAAGGACCCATATCCAATGGTTTTCCAGCACATTCCACCCATTTCCTGCCTCTTTCTGGCAGACCCATCCCACTTCCCAGTGCCTTCCAGTCCCGCCCCAGTGCTGAGCAGGGAGCAGCCCCATTTCCATGCTAAAAATGCATATTTTGGTTAAATGACCATTTTTAGGGCCTCGTCCAGTTCAAACCAGCCCAAAGTGGCCTAAAACTGGTTCCGTTTTCAGCCATGGGGCTTTGTTTGGATCCATTTTGCAGGGAATTGCTCAAATTCCCTCGTTTTCAGGGTTAATGTTCAACCTGGGCAGGGAATTCCATTGCCAGGAATGAACCCATCCTGATGGAATTGCCTCAAAACAAGGATTTTTTAGCTGAAAACAAGCACTAACATCCCGGCAGGGTTTGAACAGGATTCCTGCAATCCTGCAATTCCATAGGTCCTGGGGTACACAAAAAACATGGAATGGCATGCACTGGATTCCTTGGATTAAAAAAAAAAAAAGGTTTATTTGGGGATCTTGTGCTGGATAATAGAGGAAAATTGGGAACGGGGGAGGGGGGGAGCTGGAAACAGAGAGGAAAGGATAAATAAGGGAAAAGGTACGTGGAAAGTGGGAAAAAACCTAGGATTTTACTGAAATGCTGTTTTCTGGGAATGAGGAAGCAGCCCCACCGGGAACAGGATGGATCTGGGGCTGGGGAATGGGATTTAACCATCTGAGAGTCATTTTAGCTGAAAATCCCATTTTTTCCCTATGGATTATGGTCAGGTTGGGAGCTTGAGGGTCAATGGGGTTGTGCTGGGTTTCCTTTAGGGATCGAACGTCAGGAGCAGGCAAAAAGTGGGAATGTGGAGCCTCCCGAGGCACAAAATCCATCCAGCTCCAGTGCGGAATGTACCTTTTGTCCTGGAAAATGGGCTGGGAATGGGGGGAAAGTCAGCAATTCCAGGACTTCTCACAAATCCAGCGGCTGGAATGGGAGCACCTCTCGGCATTCCAGATGCCATCGGGCCCGATGGTGCCGCAGTCCTTCTGGTCTTTGTCTTTGCTCTCCTTCCATGTGTTCCAGTAGCTGGAGCAAGGAAAAGGGGAAAGGAAGATCCCAAGGGAAGGAAAAGCAGCCCCACGGCAGTGGAATTCCCTCTGGAAGAGGGAATTGCCCTCAAAAGGAGGGAAAACACCACCAAAAAGCCCATTTTTTTGTTAAACACCAGCAAGAAGATGCTCCCAAAACACCGTTTTCCCAGTGGAAAGTCTTTGACTTCCATAAAACCACCAAAACCCCCAAGTTTTTGTGGCTCAGTTTCCCCTTTTCCCAATTCCCAGAGGGAATTCTTACCTGATACTTGGACGTTCGCCATTGGTCCAGAGCCAGGTGCCTTCCTCCTGCTGATCCGTCACTCCCAACCAGTACGTGGTGCTGGTGTTGATGTTGTCCTTCAGGAAGTTCTAGAAGAGCAGAATTGGTTCAAATAGCCCCAAATCCCCTAGAATTCCAATGGATTACGGGGCATCTCGAGGCGTTGGGTCACCAAGATGAGGCCAGCACCAGGATTTGGGGTAAATAATGAGTATTTAGGTGGATTTGGGAAGGAACCGTTGAGCTTTTTGCTCCGTTTTTAGCATTTTTTCCCCTAAAAGCAGGAATTTGGAAGTGGCTGGGTTCAACTTGGCCACTGGGGCTTCTCCCCACCTCAAGTAACATCAAGGAACATCAACTAGCATCAGGTAACATCAAGTTACATCAAGTTGCACCAATTACATCAAGGAACATGAAGGAACATCAAGTAACATCAAGGAACAGGAAGGGACATGACAATACATGAAGTAACATGAAGGAACATCAAGTAACATCAAGGAACATGAAGGGACATGACGATACATCAAGTAAGGGCAAGTTACATCAAGTGACACCACGTAACATCAAGTTACATGAAGGAACATGAAGATACATCAAGGAACATCAAGGAACGTGAAGATACATGAAGGAACATGAAAGAACATGAGGATACCTCAAATAACATCAAGTTAGATGAAGGAACATGAAAATACATCAAGTAACATGAAGGAACATCAAATTACATCAAGGAACATCAAGGAACGTGAAGATATATCAACTAAGAGCAACTTACATCAAGTGACACCACGTAACATCAGGTTACATGAAGGAACATGAAGATACATCAAGGAACATCAAGGAACGTGAAGATATATTAAGGAACATGAAAGAACATGAGGATACCTCAAATAACATCAAGTTAGATGAAGGAACATGAAAATACATCAAGTAATATGAAGGAACATCAAGTTACATCAAGGAACATGAAGGAGCATGACGCTATATCAAGTAAGAGCAAGTTACATCAAGTGACACCACGTAACATCAAGTTACATGAAGATAGATCAAGGAACATCAAGGAACATCAAGGAACATCAAGGAACGTGAAGATACACCAAGTTACATGAAGGAACGTGAAAGAACATGAGGATACATCAAATAACATCAAGTTAGATGAAGGAACATGAAGGAACATCAGGTTACATCAAGTAACTCCAAGCTTGATGGCCAATCTTGCTGAATTTGAGCCCAAAACAGGGTTTGGAGTTCCCGTGTTGGGAGCTCTCCAAGGAAAGGGGGATTTAAGCCCCGGAAGGGGTCATTTCCCACCGACCTGCTCCATCTCCGAGTTGATGAAGACCAAATGAGCCCCTTGCTCAGCGCATGTCTTGTTCGCGTCCCACCAGCTCATGGGCTTCGTTGAGAAGGAATAGCAGCTCTGCTCGAAGATCCTCCAACCGGCCCAGCACTTCCGGTTGTCCTGCACGGATCTGCAGATCAACGCTGGGAAAAAGAAGAAAACCCCCAAACCCACCCCAAAATCAGGCTTTGTGCTCATCAACAGCATCCCCATTGAGGTCATGCCTCAAAATGGGTCTAAACCACCCAACTTCTCCATTCCCAAGAGGTTCCTCTTGGATCTTGGGTGGATCTCCATTGGAGACACCGTTGGGATAGGAACGCCAAGTTACCCGCGATGTCCTGCAGCTCCTCGTAGTAGTTGTGCATCCTGCTCCGCATCCGTGTCTGCTCCCGTTGCATCTCCGACAGCTCCTGCCACACTGGGATGTGCCTTTGGGTGAGGGACCAGCACCAGCCTCATCCCCCCCCCCCCCCAGCTTCCTCCTTCATCCCCCCTTTGGTTTACTGGAATCCCAAGCTTTTTCCCAAAGGATTTAGGCTTTTCCCACAGGTGGAAAACACGGGCAGGGATGGGAAAGCTCTTCCATGGTGGGTTTTGACTCTTTGGGTGATGCTTGGCTGCAATATCCCCCATAATATCACTGAATTCATGATGTTCAAGGATTGGATTTGATTTTTGAGGAATTTTCCATAGGATTTGTGTCCTTCCCTTCCCATAGCCTTTAACAGAGAGAACAGACCCTAATGAGGATAAATCCCAAGGGATAATTTGCTCCTATTCACACCCATTGGGTCTAATTCCTTCAGGATGGGGGCATGAGCTCAGTTGGTGTCTGACCTACTCCATTACTCCAATGTCATTCCCTGTGGGAATCAACTCAATGCTGCTTCACTAAGAGACGGAGCAGACCCAGGGGCTGCTTGGAAAGGCAACACCGAGGTGCGTGGTGGGATAGGGATGGGATTCAGAGGGATCAAGGATGGGCTGGAGAGGTTGGACCCTCATGGAGCTCAACAAGATCCTGCCCATTGGTTGGGGCAATCCCAAGGGAAAACAGGCTCGGAGCAGCCTGGTCTAATGGAAGGTGTCCCGGCCCATGGCATTGGAATGAGATGATCTTTAAGGTCTATTCCAAACCAAATCATTCCAAGATCCCATGATCCAAACACCAAAGCATCTCCTGAGGACCCACCATTGGCTTCATTCTCTGAGTAGTTTGCCTTCAAGAGCTTCAGCTCGGCCGTGATTTCCATCTCTGGAATGAGAATGAAAGGAAAACCCCTCCTGGATCACCCCAAGGAAGGAGTGGTGCCTCTTTTCCCTCAACTTACAGCTTTCCTGGGAATTCCAGAGTGGATTTACCATGGGATTTACCCCCTGTAGCACGCTCTTGGTGCAGGCAGAAGGAGGATGGAGGGACCCTTAAATTCACATGCCAAGGTGGAACTCAACCCAAATCAAGATGAGGGATGAGCTTCCAGCACTGTTTCCATATGGAAAACAGGGAAAAAATGGGATGTTTGAACCAGATCCCATCCTGGTGGGACCATCCCGGGATACTCACGCTTCACCACAGCCAAGGCAAAGAGCAGCCCCCAAGCGACAAAGCTCAGCACCACCAGAACATAGAGGATGGCTATGGATGTGTCCCTGCTGCTCTGTGCCTTTCCACCCTTGGGCTCTTCTCCTGGAAGGAATCGGGTTGGAATCCCAGTTTTCCAGGTCTGGATCAGGCCTATGCCTCCGAAATGGGATAATGGCATTGGATAAGAGCAGCTCACCCTTTTGGGAAGGATGTGGAGACGCTGGTTTGCCTGCAAGGATGTAGACCCCTGATGGGAGGAAGGAAAGAGCCAGCAGTGATGGGGATGGGCTAAATCCTGCCCCGTGGAGGTGCTGGAAGTGGGTGCTACTGGTACCTCCTTTGCTCCTCTGGCTCTGCAGATCTTCATTGGCCACCGGTGGCTTGTGGCCACGATCCAGTTCCGACAGGGATACGTCATCGTAGTCGTCCTCGAAGCTGTCCGGGGATCCTGAGTGAGGGAATATGGGGAAAAGTCGGGATTTGGGGGGGGGGGGGGGGGAATTCTGTGCATGAAGAAACAGTTGGATTCTGTGGGAAGCAATTCCCCTTTCCCATCAGGTTGATCTGCAGCACCTCCAGCGGGATCTTCATGCCCTTTTCCCAGTGTATAGATGGATATATAGAGCTCCAGAATCATGGAATTGGGATGGGAAGGATCTTAAAGCCCATCCAGTTCCATGGGCAGGGACAGCTTCCAATAGGGCAAGTTGCTCCAACCTGGCTTTGAACAGGGATGCTTCATCCAAACCTTCTCCATTCAACTCATCCCAGTGTCCCACTACCCTCACAGAGAAGAACTTCTCCCAGTATCCCATCAACTCTTCCCTCTTCCAATTGGATTCTGTTATTCCTCATCCCATCCTTCCATCCCTCCATCCCTCTCCTCTGGAGCTGCTCCAACAGGTCCAACATCCCTCTTATGTTGGTTCCCCAGAGCTGGATACAGGACTACGGAGGGGTCTTACCCTTGGCCCTATTGATCTCCATGAGGTTCCTACCTCTCCAGGTCCCTCTGGATCCCATCCCTCCCCCCCAGCTTGGTGCCACCTCAATCGTGTTGAGGGTGCTGGATCCCATTGATCATGTCCCAAACAACGATGGACAATGATGGACCCAATTATGGACCCAAACAGGGACCCAAAGATGGACCCAATGATGGACAATGATGGACCCAACGATGGACCCAGTGATGGACCCAGTGATGGACCCAGTGATGGATGGACCCAGTGATGGACTCAGTGATGGATGGACCCAATGATGGACCCAGTGATGGAGCCAACGATGGACTCAGTGATGGACCCAACGATGAATCCAGCTATGAACCCAACAATGAACAATGATGGACCCAGTGATGGACCCAGTGATGGACCCAACGATGAATCCAGCTATGAACCCAACAATGAACAATGATGGACCCAGTGATGGACCCAACGATGAATCTAGCTATGAACCCAACAATGAACAATGATGGACCCAATGATTGACCCAACAATGGACCCAACGATGGACAATGATGGACAATGGGACCCAAAGATGGACCCAACGATGGTCAATGATGGACCCAACCATGGACCCAATGATGGACCGAGTGATGGACCCAATGATCGACACGATGAACAATGATGGACCCAATGATGGACAAAAATGGACACAATGATGGACAATGATGAACCCGATGATGGACAATGGTGGACCCAACGATGAACAATTATGAACCCAGAGATGACCCCAACGATGGACCCAGTGATTGACCCAACGATGGACAATGATGAACCCAATGATGGACAACGATGAACCCAATGATGGACAACAATGGACCCAATGATGGACAACGATGGACCCAATGATGGACAATGATGAACCCAACGATGGACAATGATGGACCCAACGATGGACACTGATGAACACAATGATGGACAATGATGGACCCAATGATGGACAACGATGGACCCAATGATGGACAACGATGGACCCAATGATAGACAATGATGGACCCAATGATGGACAATGATGAACCCAATGATGGACACTGATGAACACAATGATGGACAATGATGGACCCAACGATGGACAGTGATGAACCCATCGATGGGCAATGATGACCCCAATGATGGACAACGATGAACTCAACAATGGGCCCAACAATGGACCCAGCGATGGACCCAACACCAACCCCTGAGGACCACCCCTACTTGGCCATCCAGGGCGTTTGGGGGCTGTTTGGGGCCTATTTGTTCCCATGTGAGAGAAGGACCCAAACCCCTGCGCACAGGAGACACGTTTGACCAACCAAGCCAAAAGCGAAGCTGGGTTTGGCCTTGGGGAGGCACCTGAGGGACTTCTGCTTTCCACTGAACACCCCACACACACCCCCCCCAAAGGGGATAACATCAGAGCTCACCCGGCCTGAAGTCCCCCGCGGGCATCATCTTCCCGGCACCGCAGTAAATTCCTGCCCAAAGCAGAGGGAAAAGGCCTTGAGGAGATGGGAGCATCCTCATATCCAGCCCTAGACCTTCTGCCAAGCCTGGGGCTGGAGCCTGAATGTGGGCTTTGCACCTCAAACTGGGGCTAAACATGGAGGATTTGGGGTCCTTGAGGACAAAGCAGCACCCAAAGGGCTCCTGCACCTCAAATGGGGGGTAAACATGGAGGGTTTGGGGTCCTTGAGGGCAAAGCAGCACCCAAAGGGCTCCTGAGCACCCCACATGTGTTTCACCCGGCTCCATGCTCATCAGCAGCATCTTTGGGTACCCCCAGACAGCTGCACGGCCCGAAAACACGCTAAGAACATGGAAATGACATGGAAATGGCATGGAAATGACATGGAAATGACACAGAAATTACACAGAAAAAGCATATAAAATACATGGAAATGACATGGAAAGAACACGGAAACAACACTGAAAGGACACGGCAATGACACAGAAAAGACACGGAAAAGACATGGAAAGGACTTGTAGAAGACATGGAAGTGACACGGAAAAGACATGGAAAAGACATGGGAACAATATGGAAACGACACAGAAAGTTCACAGAAATGACACGGAAAGGACACAGAAAAGACACATAAAATACATGGAAAGGGCATGGAAATGACACGGAAATGACATGGGAGGGACATGCAATGAACACGGAAAAGACATTGGAAGGGTACGGTTAGGACACGTAAAAGACATGGAAAGGACATGGAAGCAACACGGAAACGACACGGAAAGCTCGATGAAATGACATGGAAAGGACATGGAAAAGACATGGAAAAGACATGGAAACAACATGGAAAGCTCAATGAAATGACATGGAAAGGACATGGAAATGACATGGAAAAGACGTGGAAACAACATGGAAAAGACATGGAAAAGACACGGAAAAGACATGGAGATGACACGGAAAAGACATGTAAAATACATGGAAAGGACACGAAAAAGGCACGGAAAGGACCTGGCAGGGGCATGGAAAGGGGGGCTCCCCCCTCTGTACCTGCTGCCCGCACCAGGCGCTTGGGGGGCGCTGGGGGGGGCCCGAGCCAGTTCCCGTAGGTCTCGTGCTGAGCCATGGGTGCGGGAGGCGCCGCTCCCAACCCCCCCCCCCAACAAGCACCGCCCCCCCCATCCCCGCCCCCCCCCTCCCCCCCCCCCCCCCCCCCCCCCCCTTCCCCCGCAGCCGTTGGGCCCCGGTTTCGGTTCCCTTCTGAGCCCTGGGGCCACGTGAATGGGGGGGAGGGGGGGGAGCAGGGTCCCGCGAGGTAGAGATGGGAATGGGACAAAGGGGTGGGAATTGGGGATGGAAGAAGGGGAATTGGGGTCAAAGAGTGGGATTTGGATAAAAGAGTGGGATTTGGGGGCCAAAGAGTGGGATTTTGGGGCAAAAATTGGGATTTGGATTAAAGAAGGGCATTTGGGGGCAAAAGAGTGGGATTTGGGGGCAAAAAATGGGATTTGGGGGCAAAAATTGGGATTTGGATTAAAGAAGGGGATTTGGGGGCAAAAGAGTGGGATTTGGGGGCAAAAATTGGGATTTGGATTAAAGAAGGGGATTTGGGGGCAAAAGAGTGGGATTTGGGAACCAAAGAGTGGGATTTGGGGGCAAAAAATGGGATTTGGGGGCAAAAATTGGGATTTGGGGCAAAAAGGGGATTTGGGTTAAAAAAGGGGATTTGGGGGCAAAAATTGGGATTTGGGGGCAAAAATTGGGATTTGGATTAAAGAAGGGGATTTGGGGATAAAAGAGTGGGATTTGGGGGCCAAAGAGTGGGATTTGGGAGAAAAACTTGGGATTTGGATTAAAGAAGGGGATCTGGGGATAAAAGAGTGGGATTTGGGACAATAGTTTGGGATTTGGGGATAAGAAGTGGGATTTAGGGATGGAGTGGAATTTGGTGGCAACAGGGTGGGATTTGGGACCAATAGGGTGGGATTTGGAGGGACTGTGAGATTTGGGGATAAAAGGGTGGGATTTGGGGCCAGCAGGGTGAGATTTCAGGCCAAAAGGGTGGGATCTGGGGACAAAAGAGCGGGATTTGGGACCAACAGGGTGGGATTTGCATCCGCACCCAAAACACACTCCTGCCCCATCCATGTCTCTCCCCCTTTTGGGAATGGGGTTTCCCTTAAACCTTGGGAATTAAAGTGGGAATTCCACCCTTCCCCCCTCCACGGACCCAAGTTTGCCTCCAAACCATCAAAACTCTTTATTCCTTTTCCTTCCCCTGATTCCCCACCAAATCCCTCATTTTCCCCCAAATTCCCCCAAAGCAAGGGACTTCTGGGAAGCGGGAACCCATTTTTGGACACGTTTGACCCCAGATCCATGTTTTTCCTGGTTCCCCCCCCCCATTTGGATCCTTTTGGAAGGGGGGGCATCAACAAGAGCGCTCGCAGATCCAAGCTTCCTTGTTGGAGCAGGACACATCATTCCAGCGCCCATTGGAGAAGATGGTGGCACAATCCTCCCCGTGCTCCCCCACGTTGTTGGGCTCGCCGCTATTCCAGAAGCTGGGAATGGGATGGGAAAGCAGGGGGGGACACATTAGTTTGGGTGGAAAACTCGCCATTTGGGAGCATTTTGGGGTTGGGATTTGGGATGGAAGCACAAGGATAACACCCCCCCAAAAAGAACCTTCCCCCATTCCATTAAACACCATTTTGGTACTTTTGGGGATGCAATTCCCATTCTTTTCCCATTTTCCTGCTGTTTAAGGTGGGAAAAGGCTGGGGTTGCTCCCAGCATCCCAAGAATGAGGAGACCCATGCGGAATAACCCCTTGGCTGAGGGAACCAAACAGCCCCTTCTATGCCCCCTTTTGGCCTCTTCCACTGCCCAAAGCTCATTCCTGTGCTCTGGAAGTCCGAAAACGGAATGGGTGGAGGAGGAAGAGCCTGGATTTGGGTCTAAAAAGGGGGAAAAAGCTGCTTTTTGGGGGGGATTTCCCCCAAGATGGGTCTCAAACCGTACGAGACGGAGAGGGAGCTCCCATCCTCCCATTGCCAATGGCCTTCCCTGGAGGAATCTGTCAGCCCCAGCCAGAAGATCCGGTTCTCCATGACGTGATTTGCCAGGAATTTCTGCCAACGGGGTGGAAAAAGGGATTTCCAAGGGATTCCTGCCCATTCCAAGGGATTTCTGCCCATTCCAAGGGATTCCTGCCCTTTCCAAGGGATTTCTGCCCTTCCCAGTGGCTTCCTGCCCATTCCAAGGGATTCCTGCCCATTCCAATGGATTCCTGACCATTCCAAGGGATTCCTGCTCATTCCAAGGGATTCCTGCCCTTCCCAATGGATTCCTGCCCATTCCAAGGGATTTCTGCCCTTCCCAGTGGATTCCTGCCCATTCCAATGGATTCCTGCCCATTCCAATGGATTCCTGCCCTTCCCAAGGGATTCCTGACCATTCCAAGGGATTCCTGCCCATTCCAAGGGATTGCTGCCCTTCCCAATGGATTCCTGCCCATTCCAAGGGATTTCTGCCCTTCCCAGTGGATTCCTGCCCATTCCAATGGATTCCTGCCCATTCCAAGGGATTCCTGCCCTTCCCAAGGGATTCCTGCCCATTCCAAGGGATTTCTGCCCTTCCCAGTGGATTCCTGCCCATTCCAATGAATTCCTGCCCATTCCAAGGGATTCCTGCCCTTCCCAAGGGATTTCTGCCCTTCACCATGGATTCCTGCCCTTTCCAAGGGATTTCCACCCTTTCCAAGGGATTTTTGCCCTTTCCAAGGGATTTCTACCCTTTCCAAAGGATTTCGAACCTTTGCAATGGATTCCTGCCCTTCCCAAGGGATTCCTGCCCTTCCCAAGGGATTCCTGCCCTCTCCACTCACATTCTCCTGCTCGGAGCTGACGGTGGCCAAGTGCCCATTGAGGTCCCCACAGAATTCCTTGGCTTCCAACCAGGATTTGGTGGTGCTGGAGAAGAAGTAGCAGGTCCTGGCGAACTGCAGCCACCCGGGGGGACACGTGGGGCACAGGATTCCTGCAGGAAGCGGGGTGGAAGCATGGAAGCGATAGGAAAATCCATAGGGAATAACGGGGGGGGGCGGTTAGGGCCTCACTCGATAGGCCGCGCGACTCCTCCAGCACCACGGAGAGCTCCCGCTTCACCTCCTCCAGCTGCTGCAGCACCGGCTCCAGCGCATTCCTTGCCTCTGGAATGGGTTAAAGGGATTAAAGGGATCTTGGGAGCTGGAAACACCCAAAACCTCCATTTTCATTCCCTTTTCCCATCCCCATTCCCACCAGTTCTTCAATTCCGGCACTAAAAAACCCCTTTGGTTCCGTGTTTTCACTTCATTTCTCCAGGCTTCTTTCCCTTCAATATCCCATGATCCCAAACTCACACAGGTCGGCTTCCTGCATTCCCAGCATCTTCCCCACCCCGCATTCCAGAGGGTTGGAAAATGGGGGAGGGGAAAGGCTAAATTTAAGGGTTTTCCATCAAAACCAAGCTCTCACCCAGGTCTTGGAGGCGACCCAAGAGCTCCTTCCCGCATCCCGCTTCACACTGCGCCATCCTCCCCTGCATCTTCTCCACCTCCTGAGACACTGGGAAGAGGGAAAACCCCCTTTGATCTTGTTTGGATGCTCCTTGCTCCCAGTATCTGGGATCCCAAAGGAATCCCACCCCCTGCCTCATTGCCTTTCCCTTGGAATACCATTGAGGAGTTGGATGCGAACGGCCTTGGCCTCCTTGGAGAGCTGCTTGTCTGCAATGGACACAAGAGAAGGATCCTCGCAACAGGACCTGATGGGAAGCAGCTCCGGAGGGTTTCATTCCCACTGGGAAGCGCTGCATCCATGTGGATACCGAGGGTGCGGATCCTTTGGGAGGCGAACTCATACCGAGAGCGTGCTGGACCTGCGAGAGGTTGAGCCATGCCGCTGTGTGGCTGCTCTCATCCCGCATCCGAGCCTCTTCCAATGCTTCCCATGCCATGGATACTAAAGGAGAGAGAATCCCACTTGGAGAGCTCCATGGCCACGTTTTGCTCTATTTCGTGGCGTTTTGACCCAAAACGGGGCTTGGCCTCACCTCTCCGGAAGTTCACGATGCTCAGAGCCATGAGGAGCACAAAGGAGAGGGCCAGGAGCACGGAGAGCAAAGCAATGGCTCGATCAGGAAGCAAGGCTGGAGGGATGGATATTCCCGGGATGAGGCGATCCCAAAGAGCGTTCCCCAATGGATGCTCTCCTAAGGAAGAGCTCGAAGAGAGAAATCACCCCCAAACCACCCCTTGAGGGGCTCCATCCCCCTCTCCCTATCCCAGGACCCAATGGTGTCCATCCCCCTCCATCACCTCCTCCTTAAGGAGCCCAAAGCCTCCACTTCCCCATCTCAGGAAGCCCAAACCCATTCCCTCTTCCCGGTACCTCCTTTAGGGGCTTCCTGCTCCTGCTCCCCCAGCTCCAGCTCCTCCAAGGCGTCTCCCGGCTGCATCTCGGAGCCGTTCCCGTTGGATCCTGGCCCCTTTCTATGGGGCGGGGAGGAGGAGCCAGCGCATCCCAAGGAAGGGAAGGAAGCGGCTTGCACAATCCTGACCTTTCCGAGCACAGGAACGGGACCAAATCTGCTCACTCAGGACCTTTGGGGCTCCTGATGGCACCACCCCTTCCCTCTTCACCGTTGATCCAAAATCGCACTTTTTTTGCTCCAAAAACCAAGGTGGAGAAGGGCCCTTTTTGGAGGTTTCATCCCCAAAATGATGTTCTCCAAAATTTAGGGGGGTTTTGGGGAAGTTTTTGGTGGTTTTGGGATCGTTTTTGCCTTCGGACCAGGAGAAAGCTCCCATTGTGGAAAGCCTCCAGTGCTGTAGGCTCTGATCCATGAATCATGGAACGGGTTGGGTTGGGAAGGAGCTTGGGATCCTCCAGCTCCAGCCTGGAACGGACACTTCCCATCGGAAGAGGCCGCTCCAAGCCCCATCCAGCCTGGGATGCTTCATCCAATCCTTCTCTGTTCATCCCATCCCATCATCTCCAGGCTGAACTTCCCATCACCTCTTGTCCTATGGCTCCAGGCCATGGGGAAGGTCCCTCCAGTCCGTGTCTCCCTTAGGATCATCCCAATCTGTGTCTCCCTTGGGATCATCCCAACCCATGCACAAGGACCATGCCCTTGGTCCCTATTGATCCCCATTGAGGTTCCCACCTCTCCAGGTCCCTCCGGATCCATTCCCATCCCTCCAACACTCGGTGCCATCGCAACCCGGTGTTGCCGTCATTCCTTGCTTGGGAATGGGTTTGTGCCACACGTTGGATCCCTATGGAAAACCCCAAATTCCAACCCCAACAACAGCTCCAAAATCGCCCCATTTTGGCCCATTCCCAGCCGGCACATCCGGACGTTCCCATTCAGCTTCCCCCCTTCGCTCCCATTTCCCCTTTCGCATCCCAGATTTAGGGGAAGTCAAGGCGCAGCTCGTGGTTTCTGGTGCCCTTTTGGGTTAAAACCCTGTGATTTTGGGTTCTGGTTGCCCTGGTGATGGGGGGGGGGGGGGGGGGGGAGGGGTGTGGAAATGGTGCTTTTTAAGCTGAAACAATGGGAAATCGGAATTAAAGTGAAGAAAGGGCTGTAAAATGCACCCCCAATGCCCCTCATGCCCATCCATAGGGATCTCATATCCCCATAGCCCATTGGGGGGATCCACAATGCTTCCCAACACCCTTATCCCTGTGGAATGGGGGCTCCAGTGTCCCTGCACACACACCTCCCCCCCCCCCAGGGACCCCCATTCCCCCCAAGACCTCAACCCATCAGGAACAAGGGACCCATTTCTATGGGGCTGGGGTCCCTGTAAAGCCCATCCCTAGGGAACTGGGGACCCCCACACCCGGATCCCTATGGGAATGAGGGACATGCCCCTCATCACCCCAATATCCCACCCTATAGGGCACCATGGCCCCATATCCCACCCTATGGGGCACCAGGGCACCTTATCCCTATGGATATCCCTATGGGTCAGGGACCCCATCCCAGGTAACCCCCCACCTTGGTACCCACCCTGCGTGGGTACCCTTACAGCTACTCAACATCCCATTGGTGGATGAACCCGCCAATCATCCCACGATAGCCAATCAGAGCGGCAAATCCGGCCCAGGAAGGCGGGACCAGATGCAGCGATGAACGCCCCTCCTATTGGCTTCCTCACCCTCTTCTCCGTCAGCGATTGGCTGCTTCACCTATCAATCACACCCAGCAGAGGAGGCGGGGCTTGTTGCCTTCCGTGCCGCCCAGACCCCAGCTCTCACATCCCATTGGCTGTCCTCCCCATCCATCCCCACCACCCTCGCCTCCCATTCGCTGCTCCCACCCTTCCTTGCATCTCATTGGCTCAGCGTCCTTTAGTAGCCGGCTCCGGGCTCGGACAGCAGCGATTGGCGGAGCGGGCGGGCTGAAGGGCTAAATCCGCGCGCTGATTGGCTGAGGGGCGGGGCTCGCCCGTCAATCACCACCCAATGAGGGCGGTGGCGGCGGTGCCCCCCCCCACGGCTCCCGTTCGGCTCCCGTTCGGCTCCCGTTCGGCTCCCCCCCCCCCCCCCCCCCCCGCCCTCGGATGCAGCGGGCGGTTGCCATGGCAACGCATCACAGGTAGGAGGGGCTGCGGGGGGGGGGGGGCTCCTTCCATTGTACCCTATGGGGGGGGGGGCGATGTGGGGTGACCCCCCCCCCCCATGGCTATAGGGAGAGGGGGCATGGGGGTAAAGCCCCCCCCACATCCCTGCTATGAATAGGGGGGGGGCTATAGGGTAAATACCCCCCCATCTATAGGCGGGGGGATATTGGGGGTACCTCCTATGGGGGGGGCATTGGGATAACCCCCCCCCCATCTATGGGGCAGCTTGGGGGGGTCTCCCCCCCCCGCCCATGGCTATAGATTAAATGGGGGACCCCCCCTTTTAGGGCTAAGGGGTGTGCTTCCATTGTGGGGCTCTATGGGGGGGGCCCATAAAGGGGAACATCGGGGGGTGTCCCCCCCCCCTTCTTGGTTGCTTTTTCACTTTAAATCATAAGGTTTTGGTTAAAAAGCACCAAAAAGGGGGGGTGCTCCCCCCCCCCCCAAGCAGAGCCAAGCACCCCCTTCCCCACATCTATGGGGCAAAGGTTGGGTACTACACCCCCCCCTCGCCCCCCCCATGATGGCTCCATCCAGGCACAGCCCCGGAGCGTTGCCTTTGTGTGCTTCCTGCTGCCTCCTTTTGGGTTGAAATCCCGGGATTTTAGCTCTGTTGGGATTCGGCAGCGAATCCCGGTCCCCCCCCCCCCCAAAATCCCTGCTCCTTTTGGGATGTTTTTCCCCTTTTCCTGCTGCTTTGGGAGCCTTTGATACCTGCAGCATGGATGCAGGCACCCACCCCCCCCCCGATTTGCATGGAAAATCCCCAAAAACACCAGAATTTTGGGCTCATTTCAGCCCATTTTGGGCAAACATCCCGTTCTGTGCATCATTTTGGGATGTTTCCACCTGGAAATCCACATTTGGGGATGGAAGGGGTGGGATTTGGGCATCAAATCCCCCCCCCATTTGGCCCCGTCAGAGCAGAATTCCTGATGTTTAACCTCATTTCCAAGCCCTTTTCCTGCTTTTCCCACCCTCTGGAATGCTGGTGGTTTCATCCGTGGGGTTTTCCCTCTTCCGGCTCCTTTTCCATGTTAAAAATGGGGTTTTCTGGCAAAACTGCGGGGGGGATTTACTGGTTTGGGAGTGATGGGGGGGGGGGGGGGAATTCCCGCTTCCAGGAATTCCCTTTGGGAACACCAATCCCTGCTCTCCACTTGGCCTATTTCCCTACCCAACAGTGGCATTCCCAGCCCCATTCCCACCATTTGACCCCTCTGCACCTTCAATGATCCCTCCAAATCCTCTTCCCCATCCCCTTGGGATGAGCTCTTGGGAATCCTCAAGGAATGGTGGCCGCCAGCTCCCTATCTCCATGCTGCAAATCCCATGGGATTGCAAACCCCACAGCTTCCTTTGGCTTCCCCTTATCCCATTCCCACCTGGATTTGGGCAGGGAGCAGCATCACCCTTTGGCCACCTCGTTTTGGCCATTCCATGGTCATCCAATGGGAATTCTTCCTCCTTTTGGGGACATAGCTCCTGGTTTGGGAATGTTTTGTGGGAATACCTCATCCCTCTGGAGCCGCCTCTGGAATCCCTCTTTATCCAGCATTCCCAAACCGACTATTTCCCATCCCATTCCTCCAATCCCAAACTGAGATTCCCTCCTCGGAGAGGCATTTTTCCATGGGAACCCCCCAAAATGGGTTGTGAATCCATAGGGATTCCCCCTCTCATCCCACCCATTCCTTCCCAAAACGAGGGAATTTCGGGCTTCATTCCTGCTTTTCGGCTGTTTTGATCGGGGCCAACACAGGATGGGAAAACTGGGCTTAAAATAACAAATTTGAGGGGATTTTAGGGAATTTTTTAGGGCATTCCATGCTTTTCCACGGGCTGCCCACCGAGGGATGCTCCCGCCTCGGTTCGGATCCATGAAAACAGCGGGATGAGGACAACTTGGAGCGGGGATGGGGATGCCCTTCACGTTGGCCTTGCTTTTCCAGGTGAGATCCCAATATCCCAGCTGGAATTCCACGATGGCGTCGCCGGCCGTCAGCCCCGATTCCTCTTCCCATGAGGGCCTCTCCTCCATCCACTCGGCTCCCGCTTGTTCTCCCACTTCCGACTCGGAAAACCTCAGTCCCGATGAGCTGGAGCTGTTGGCAAAGCTGGAGGAGCAGAACCGGTGAGTTCCCAATGGAATTCCCTCCCCATTCCCACTCTTTTCCCAAGCGTTTCCCATCCCCGATGTCCCAAACCCGATGGGGATGGAATTCCAGGAGCTGCTTCCTCAAGCATCCCCAATGGGAAGCATCTCCAAGGTGGTTTTCCTCTATGGAAGCAGCTCTTCCCGATGGGAAAAGGGGATCTTGGGAAGGAGGTGGCTGTTTGGAAAGGGATCAATAAGGAATGGTCCCATTCCGGGGCTGGGATCCCAGCTGCTCCTATGGGAAAAGGAGGTTTGGAGGAGTCCCTTTGTCCTCCTTTGGGATGTTTTGTGGGATGGGGTTGATGGGATCGCCTCTTCTGTGGGAATACCTCCTTTTCTGGGATGGGTTTGGGGGAATCTTCTCCTTGAGGCTGTTTTGTGGGAATGCCGCAGTTTTGGGGATAGTTTTGCTGGAATCTCCTCTTCTTTGGGTTAATTTTTGGGGAATTCCTCCTTTTCTGGGATAATTTTGATGGAATCTCCTCTTCTTTGGGTTATTTTTGGGGGGAATTCCTCTGTTTCTGGGATGGTTTTGATGGAATCTCCTCTTCTTTGGGTTATTTTTGGGAATTCCTCTCTTTTTGGGATGGTTTTGATGGAATCTCCTCTTCTTTGGGTTATTTTTGGGAATTCCTCCTTTTCTGGGATAATTTTTGATGGAACCTCCTCTTCTTTGGGTTATTTTTGAGAATTCCTCTTTTTCTGGAATGGTTTTGATGGAGCCTCCTCTTCGTTGGGTCATTTTGTGGGAATTCCTCCATTTCTGGGATAATTTGGATGGAATCTCCTCTCCTTTGGGTTATTTTGGGGTATACTTCCATTTCTGGGATGGTTTTGATGGAATCTCCTCTTCTTTGGGTCGTTTTTTGGGAATTCCTCCATTTTGGGGATAATTTTGCTGGAATCTCCTCTTCTTTGGGTTATTTTTGGGAATTCCTCTGTTTCTGGGATGGTTTTGATGGAATCTCCTCTTCTTTGGGTTATTTTTGGGAATTCCTCTGTTTCTGGGATGGTTTTGATGGAATCTCCTCTTCTTTGGGTTATTTTTGGGAATTCCTCCATTTCTGGGATAATTTTTGATGGAACCTCCTTTTCTTTGGGTCATTTTGTGGAAATTCCTCCATTTCTGGGATAATTTTGCTGGAGTCTCCTCTTCTTTGGGTTATTTTTGGGAATCCCTCCATTTCTGGGATAATTTTTGCTGGAGTCTCCTCTTCTTTGGGTTCATTTTGCGGCCCTTCTTTGGTGCCCTTTGGAGCCTCTTCGGGCCTATCCCCGCCTCCCGCAGGCTCCTGGAAGCCGACTCCAAATCCCTGCGCTCCATGAACGGCTCCCGTCGGAACAGCGGCTCCTCGCTGGTCTCCAGCTCCTCGGCCTCCTCCAACCTCAGCCACCTGGAAGAGGACACGTGGATCCTGTGGGGCCGCGTCGTCAACGAGTGGGACGAGTGGCGGAGGAAGAAGGAGAAGCTGCTGAAGGTCGGGAAGCGCCGATGCCGGTGCCGCCGCCACCGCGTCCCGCGGGGATGCTCACGCCGTCTCTCCCGCAGGAGCTCATCCGTAAAGGGATTCCCCATCACTTCCGAGCCATCGTCTGGCAGCTCCTGTGCAGCGCCACCGAGATGCCCGTCAAGAAGCAGTACTCGGAGCTGCTCAAGATGTCCTCGCCGTGCGAGAAGCTCATCCGCCGCGATATCGCCCGCACCTACCCGGAGCACGAGTTCTTCAAGGGCCAGGACAGCCTGGGCCAGGAAGTGCTCTTCAATGTCATGAAGGTAGCGGCCAGCTCCGTGCCTTTGGTGCTCCTTCTCTGCCATGGGGTCTGGTGGGACCCACATCCGGAGCCGGCGCTTCCGGCCCCAAGGAGCTCGTTCCTAAAGCTTCGTTTTCCTCTTTGCTGGATTAAGGAACGATCGTTTTCCCATTGGGTTTCCCTCTGGATTAAGGAACCAACACTCAATCGTTTTCCCGTTGGGTTTCCCTCTGGATTAAGGAAGCAACACTCAATCGTTTTCCCATTGGGTTTCCCTTTGGATTAAGGAACCAGCACTCAATAGTTTTCCCATTGGGTTTCCCATTGGATTAAGGAAGCAGCACACAGTCATCTTCCCATTGGGTTTCCCATTGGATTAAGGATCCAACACTCAATAGTTTTTCCGTTGGGTTTCCCTCTGGATTAAGGAACCAACACTCAACAGTTTCCCCGTTGGGTTTCCCTTTGGATTAAGGAACCAACACTCAATCATTTTCCCGTTGGGTTTTCCTTTGGATTAAGGAAGCACCACTCAATCCTTTTCCTGTTGGGTTTCCCTCTGGATCAAGGAAGCACCACTCAATAGTTTTCCCGTTGGGTTTCCCTTTGGATTAAGGAACCAACACTCAATAGTTTTCCCGTTGGGTTTCCCTTTGGATTAAGGAACCAACACTCAATTGTTTTCCCATTGGGTTTTCCTTTGGATTAAGGAAGCACCACTCAATAGTTTTCCCATTGGGTTTCCCTCTGGATTAAGGAACCAACACTCAATAGTTTCCCCGTTGGGTTTCCCTTTGGATTAAGGAACCAACACTCAATAGTTTCCCCGTTGGGTTTCCCTCTGGATTAAGGAACCAACACTCAATCGTTTTCCCATTGTGTTTCCCTCTGGATTAAGGAACCAACACTCAATCGTTTTCCCATTGTGTTTCCCTCTGGATTAAGGAGGCAATTGGGGCTTTGGGGGTATCCTCCCAACAGGAGGTGATGTCAACCACAACCAAAGCTCTTTTCCAGCATGGAAATGGGTTTTCCATCGAGGATTAAGGCTTCCTGCCACAGGGAATGTGGAGGCCAGGGCCCTGCTCACACCCCCATTGATAGGGGGGATCAGGAATTAGGGAATTCTGGAATGAACTGGGTTGGGAAAGAGCTTCAAGCTCATCAGATCCAACCTTTATCCAAGCACTTCCAAGGCCTGGGGTTCCCACCCAACTCGATGCCATTGGGATGCCCTCATCGGCATCAATGGAGCCCCCAAGCCCTGAGGGTGTCCACAGGTGGATGTGACCCCATTCCCATGCCCCTCTGGACCAGAGCATCCAATGCTTTTCCTTCTTCCCAGGCCTATTCCCTGGTGGACCGCGAGGTCGGCTACTGCCAGGGCAGCGCCTTCATCGTGGGACTGCTGCTCATGCAGGTTTGTGGTGGGTTCCAAGGCTCCCTTCCCGCTCCTCCAGCGCCGGATCCGGTGGGATTTGTGTCCCGTTGGATCTGCAGATGCCTGAGGAAGAGGCCTTCTGCGTGTTCGTGAGGCTGATGCAGGAATACCGGCTCCGGGAGCTCTTCAAGCCCAGCATGGCCGAGCTGGGGCTCTGCATCTTCCAGTTCGAGTCCCTGCTGCAGGTGGGCACCAGCGCCATGGGGCAGCCAAGAGGGGAGAGGCCTTGGGGACCATCCATGAGGTGCTCCATGGACCATGCATGAGATACCCAAAGGGGCCATCCATGAGGTGCTCCATGGACCATGCATGAGATACCCAAAGGGACCATCCATGAGATGCTCCATGGACCATCTATGAGCCTATAGGCACCATGGGGACCATCCATGAGACCATTGGGACCATCTATGAGATGCTCCATGGGGACCATCCATGAGATGCTTCATGGACCATCTATGAGCCTATGGGCACCATGGGGACCATCCATGAGACCATTGGGACCGTCTATGAGATGCTCCATGGACCGTGCATGAGATACCCAAAGGGACCATCCATGAGATGCTGCATGGACCATCTATGAGCCTATGGGCACCATGGGGACCATCCATGAGACCATTGGGACCGTCTATGAGATGCTTCATGGGGACCATCCATGAGATGCTTCATGGACCGTGCATGAGATACCCAAAGGGACCATCCATGAGATGCTCCATGGACCATCTATGAGCCTATGGGCACCATGGGGACCATCCATGAGACCATCGGGACCATCAATGAGATGCTCCATGGGGACCATCCATGAGATGCTTCATGGACCGTGCATGAGATACCCAAAGGGACCATCCATGAGATGCTTCACGGACCATCTATGAGCCTATGGGCACCATGGGGACCATCCATGAGACACCCAAAGGGACCATCCATGAGATGCCCCAAGGCCCATCCATGGATGCTCTCAGGAGCATCCATGACTCCTAAAGGGGGGCATCAGTGGGACCCAAAGGACACCTTGGGGGTATCCATGAGAGCCCCATGAGATGCTCCATGGATCATCCATGGGCCTATGGGCACCATGGGGACCACAGTAGGGGCCCTCATGGTGGTCTCATCTCATGGGGCATCACCAAGGCCCATCCACAAACCCTCCTGGAGCTGTCCAAGCCTCAGGAACCAGGATTGACCCTGGGAACCATCCCCCATTCCCGGTATTTCTCCATCCCCCATTCCCAGTTTTCTCCATCACCCATTCCCACTATTCCTCCGTCCCCCATTCCCGGTATTCCTTCATCCCCCATCCTGATTTACCTCCATCCCCCATTCCCAGTTTCCTCCACCCCCCATTCCCAGTTTTCCTCCATCCCCCATTCCCAGTTTCCTCCACCCCCCATTCCCAGTTTCCTCCATCCCCCATTCCCAGTTTTCTCCATCCCCCATTCCCAGTTTTTTCCACCCCCCATTCCCAGTTTTCCTCCATCCCCCAATCCCAGTTTTCCTCCATCCCCCATTCCCAGTTTCCTCCATCCCCCATTCCCAGTTTTCTTCACCCCCCATTCCCAGTTTCCTCCACCCCCCATTCCCAGTTTTCCTCCATCCCCCAATCCCAGTTTTCCTCCATCCCCCATTCCCAGTTTCCTCCATCCCCCATTCCCAGTTTTCTTCATCCCCCATTCCCAGTTTCCTCCATCCCCCATTCCCAGTTTCCTCCACCCCCATTCCCAGTTTGCTCCATCCCCCATTCCCAGTTTCCTCCATCCCCCATTCCCAGTTTCCTCCATCCCCCATTCCCAGTTTCCCTCCATCCCCCATTCCCAGTTTCCTCCATCCCCCATTCCCAGTTTTCTCCACCCCCCATTCCCAGTTTTCCTCCATCCCTCAATCCCAGTTTTCCTCCATCCCCCATTCCCAGTTTCCCTCCATCCCCCATTCCCAGTTTCCTCCATCCCCCATTCCCAGTTTCCTCCATCCCCCATTCCCAGTTTTCTCCACCCCCCATTCCCAGTTTTCCTCCATCCCTCAATCCCAGTTTTCCTCCATCCCCCATTCCCAGTTTCCTCCATCCCCCATTCCCAGTTTCCTCCATTCCCCATTCCCAGTTTTCTCCACCCCCCATTCCCAGTTTTCCTCCATCCCCCAATCCCAGTTTTCCTCCATCCCCCATTCCCAGTTTCCTCCATCCCCCATTCCCAGTTTCCTCCATCCCCCATTCCCAGTTTTCCTCCATCCCCATTCCCAGTTTCCTCCACCCCCATTCCCAGTTTTCCTCCATCCCCCATTCCCGGTTTTCCTCCATCCAGGAGCAGCTGCCGGAGCTGAACACCCACTTCCGCTCCCAGAGCTTCCTCACTTCCATGTACGCTTCCTCCTGGTTCCTCACCCTCTTCCTCACCACCTTCCCTTTGCCCGTGGCCACGCGCGTCTTCGACATCTTCATGGACGAGGTAATTCCTGAGGGAATCCCATCCCCACGGATCGGGGCTGTGCTCTCCTCCGGGATCCCCATGGAGCCTTCCCATAGGGGCTGGAGATCGTCTTCCGTGTGGGAATGGCGCTGCTGCAGTTCAACCAAGCCGAGCTGGTCCAGTTGGACATGGAGGGAATGTCCCAGGTCCGTGCTGGGTCCTTTGGGATGTGTTCATCCCAAATGGATCAACACATCCCAAATGCGATGGGTTTTCCAATGGGATTTGGTTTGGGGCCCATTCGGGATGGGTTTGTCCAATGGGATTTGGTTTGGGGCACATTTGGGATGGGTTTGTCCAATGGGATTTGGTTTGGGGCCCATTTGGGATGGGTTCGCCCAATGGGATTTGGTTGGGGGCCCATTTGGGATGGGTTTGTCCAATGGGATTTGGCTTAAGGCCCATTTGGGATGTGTTTTCCAATGGGATTTGGTTTGGGGCCCATTTGGGATGGGTTTGTCCAATGGGATTTGGTTTGGGGGCCCATTTGGGATGGGTTTGTCCAATGGGATTTGGCTTAGGGCCCATTTGGGATGGGTTTTCCAATGGGATTTGGCTTAGGGCCCATTTGGGATGGGTTTGTCCAATGGGATTTGGGTTGGGGCCCATTTGGGATGGGTTTGTCCAACGGGATTTGGTTTGGGGCCCATTTGGGATGGGTTTGTCCAATGGGATTTGGGTTGGGGCCCATTTGGGATGGGCTTTCCAATGGGATTTGGTTTGGGGCCCATTTGGGATGGGTTTGTCCAATGGGATTTGGCTTAGGGCCCATTTGGGATGGGTTTGTCCAATGGGATTTGGTTTGGGGCCCATTTGGGATGGGTTTGTCCAATGGGATTTGGCTTAGGGCCCATTTGGGATGGGTTTGTCCAATGGGATTTGGCTTGGGGCCCATTTGGGATGGGTTTGTCCAATGGGATTTGCTTTGGGGCCCATTTGGGATGGGTTTGTCCAATGGGATTTGGCTTGGGGCCCATTTGAGATGGGTTTGTCCAATGGGATTTGCTTTGGGGCCCATTTGGAATGGGTTTGTCCAATGGGATTTGGTTTGGGGCCCATTTGGGATGGGCTTTCCAATGGGACATGGTTTGGAGGCCCATTTGGGATGGGTTTGTCCAATGGGATTTGGTTTGGGGCCCATTTGGGATGGGTTTGTCCAATGGGATTTGGCTTGGGGCCCATTTGGGATGGGTTCGTCCAATGGGATTTGGTTTGGGGGCACATTCGGGATGGGTTTGTCCAATGGGATTTGGTTGTGGGCCCATTTGGCATGGGTTCGTCCAATGGGATTTGGTTGGGGGCCCATTTGGGATGGGTTTGTCCAATGGGATTTGGCTTAGGGCCCATTTGGGATGGGTTTTCCAACGGGATTTGGTTTGGGGCCCATTTGGGACGGGTTTGTCCAATGGGATTTGGCTTGGGGCCCATTTGGGATGGGTTTGTCCAATGGGATTTGGTTTGGGGCCCATTTGGGATGGTTTTGTCCAATGGGATTTGGTTTGGGGCCCATTTGGGATGGGTTTGTCCAATGGGATTTGGTTTGGAGGCACATTCGGGATGGGTTTTCCAATGCGATTTGGTTTGGGGCCCATTTGGGATGGGTTCATCCAATGGGATTTGGTTGGGGGCCCATTTGGGATGGGTTTGTCCAATGGGATTTGGCTTAGGGCCCATTTGGGATGGGTTTTCCAATGGGATTTGGTTTGGGGCCCATTCGGGATGGGTTTGTCCAATGGGATTTGGCTTGGGGCCCATTTGGGATGGGTTTGTCCAATGGGATTTGGTTGTGGGCCCATTTCGGATGGGCTTTCCAATGGGATTTGGTTGGGGGGCCCATTTGGGATGGGTTTGTCCAATGGGATTTGGCTTGGGGCCCATTTGGGATGGGTTTGTCCAATGGGATTTGGTTTGGAGGCCCATTTGGGATGGGTTTGTCCAATGGGATTTGGTTTGGGGGCATATTTGGGATGGGTTTGTCCAATAGTATTTGGTTTGGGGCCCATTTGGGATGGGTTTGTCCAATGGGATTTGGTTGGGGGGCCCATTTGGGATGGGTCTGTCCAATGGAATTTGGCTTGGGGCCCATTTGGGATGGGTTTGTCCAATGGGATTTGGTTTGGGGGCATATTTGGTATGGGTTTGTCCAATGGGATTAGGTTTGGGGCCCATTTGGGATGAGTTTGGGGCGGGTTTCCTGCTATGGGTCCATGATCCATGGCTTTCCTGCCTCTGCAGTACTTCCAGAAGGTGATCCCGCACCAGTTCGACAGTTGTCCGGATAAGCTCATCCTTAGGGCATTCCAGGTCAAATACAATGCCAAGAAGATGAAGAGGTGAGGCCATGGAATTGGGGTCCTGCGGGAGATGTGGGGCACGGGACAATGGGGTCTGGTCCCATCCCTGTATCCCAAACAGGCTGGAGAAGGAATACGCCAGCATCAAGAACAAGGAGATGGAGGAGCAGATCGAGATCAAGGTGAGGGACAGCCATGGAGCCCATTCCAGAGCTGTGGAACCCATCAATGGAGCCCATTCCAGAGCCATGGAACCCATCCCAGGGCCATGGAACCCATCCCAGGGCCATGGAACCCATCCCAGGGCCATGGAACCCATCCCAGAGCCATGGAACCCATCCATGGAACCCATTCCAGAGCCATGGAACCCATCCCATGGAGCCCATCCCAGAGGCATGGACACCATCCCATGGAGCCCATCCCTGGAACCCATCCCAGAGGCATGGAGCCCATCCATGTAACCCATCCCACAGCCATGGAACCCATCCATGGAACCCATCCCATGGAACCCATCCATGGAACCCATTCCAGAGCCATGGAACCCATCCATGGAACCCATCCCATGGAACCCATCCCAGAGCCATGGAACCCATCCATGGAACCCATTCCAGAGCCATGGAACCCATCCATGGAACCCATTCCATGGAGCCCATCCATGGAACCCATCCCATGGAACCCATCCCATGGAACCCATCCATGGAGCCCATTCCAGAGCCAAGGAACCCATCCATGGAACCCTCTCCCATGGCCTCATCTCCCCCCTTTGTGTCCCCCCCCTCCCCGCAGCGCCTGCGCACGGAGAATCGGCTCCTGAAGCAGCGCATCGAGACCCTGGAGAAGGTGAGGGCCATGGGCAGCACCCCAAAAACACCCCCGAAAACCCTAAAGTAAACCAAAACACCCTCAAAACACCCACAAAACACCCTAAAACCACCCCAAACCCCCCCTAAAACACAACCACCCCAAAACACCCCTAAACCACCCCAAACCACTCCTAAAACAACCAAAACCACCCCAAAATGCCCCTAAAACACCCAGAACATTCTAAAACACCCCTAAAGCACCTCAAAACACTCTAAACCACCCCAAAACAACAACAAAACACTCCAAAACACCCCCAAACCACCCCCAGACCACCCTAAAACACCCCAAAGCACCCCAAAATACCCTGAAACACCAAACACACCCCCAAAACACCCCTAAAACACACCTATAACACCTCTAAAACACGCAACACACCCCCAAAACACCCCTATAACACCCCCAAAACACCATAAAACACCCCAAACCACCCCTAAAACACCCCAAAACACCATAAAAGACCCCAAACCACCACATAACACCTCCAAAACACCATAAAACACTCCTATAACAGCCCTAGAACACCCCTATAACACCCCCAAAACACCCCTAAAACACCCCAAAACCCCTACAACACCCTTATAACACCCCCAAAACACCATGACACTCCAAAACACCCCTAAAACACCCCTATAACACCCCCAAAACACCATAAAACACTCCAAAACACCCCTAAACCCCCAAAACCCATAAAACACCTAGCAGCCCTAAAACACCATAACAAAACACCCCAAAGCAGCACCCTTATAACACCCCCAAAACACCATAAAACACCCCTATAATACCCCCAAAACACCATAAAACACCCCTATAATACCCCCAAAACACCATAAAACACCCCTAAACACCCCTAAAAAAAACACCCCAAAACACCCCTAAAACACCCCTATAACACCCTTATAACACCATAAAACACCCCAAAACACCGTAAAACACCCCAAACCACCCTTAAAACACCCCTATAACACCCTTATAAAACCCCCAAAACGCCATAAAACACCCCCAAACCACCCAAAACCACCTCAAACCCTCTTAGAACGCTCCCCCCCCCCCCCCTCCCCGGAGCACCCATGGGTGCCCCCCCATCGCCTCCAGCTGCCCTCTTCCCTCCTCGCCCCCCCTCCCAGCGCTGTCCAGGTGCTGAAAGCCGCTCCTCCCGCCCGCTCCATGGCCGCTCCATGTGGAATCGTCAATGGGGAGGTGGGAAACGCTCGGCATCGGGATAGAACAGGAGGGAAAAGAGCAGGAATCCCATTGGACCCCCCCCCCCCCCCAAAATCTCTGGAATACCCCCAGGAAAGGGCTGGGAATGCCGCGGGCGCCTCCACTTTACGGCTTCTCTCGCTGCTTCCATCTCATTCCTTCTCTTTTCCCTCTTTTCCTTCTTTTCCCGGCCGTGCCGCAGGAGAGCGCGGCTCTCGCCGACCGCCTCATCCAGGTACTATCCCCAAGGAGGGATTTTCCTGCTTTTCCTGCTTGGTCGAAGCCTTTTCCTCCCCCCTTTTTTGGCTGCCTTGTTCCTGCTTTGGGGAATTGCGGCCCTTCTCCTGCTTTTTCCGGAGGCTCCCGCGGCTCTTCCCGATTGGGGGAGGAGTGGGAATGGGGTTGGGTTTCAGTGGGAGGGGATGGGGGGAGAGTGGTCCCGAAGGTCCCCATGGGGCTGGTGGCACCTTCTATAGGGCGTGACATTGGCCTCGCTCCTCAGCCTTGGGGCCTCATTCACCCCCTTGTCCCCATTGTTCCCTTTGTTCCCCTTGTGCCCATTGGCCCCCATTGCCCCCGTTCCCCCCATTGCCCCCGTTACCCCAATTACCCCCATTGATATTACACACATTACCTCTGTTACCCCCATTACCCTCATTGCCCCCGTTACCCCCATTGCCCCCTTTACCTCTATTGCCCCCATTACCCCCATTGCCACCTTTACCCCCATTACCCTCATTGCCCCCATTACCCCTATTGCCCCCTTTACCCCCGTTGCACCCATTGCCCCCATTACCCTCATTGCCCCCATTACCCCCATTGCCCCCATTACCCTATTGCCCCCATTACCCCTATTGCCCCCATTGCCCCCATTACCCTCATTGCCCCCATTACCCCCATTGCCTCATTACCCCCATTGCCCCCATTACCCCCTTTACCCCCATTACCCCCTTTACCCCCATTGCCCCCTTTACCCCCATTGCCCCCTTTACCCCCATTGCCTCATTACCCCCATTACCCCCATTGTCACCATCACCCCATTGCCCCCCTTACCTCCGGCAGGGTCAGGTGACGCGGGCGCAGGAGGCAGAGGAGAATTACATCATCAAGCGGGAGCTGGCCGTGGTGCGGCAGCGCTGCAGCAGCGCCACCGAGAGCCTGCAGCGCGCCCAGAGCACCATCCAGCAGCTGCAGCACCAGCAGGTGTGGACAGCGCCCCCTTGTGCTGGGGAGGCCTTGGGTTCGTGTTTGGTTCCTGTTGGGTCCCTGTTGGGTTCCTGTTGGGTTCCTGTTGGGTTCCTGTTGGGTTTCTGTTGAGTTTCTGTTGGGGCCCTGTTGGGTTCCTGGTGGGGCCCTGGTGGGTCCCTGGTGGGTCCCTGTTGGGTTCCTGGTGGGTCTCTATTGGGTCCCTACTGGGGCCCTGTTGGGTTCGTGTTGGGTTCCTGTTGCGTTCCTGTTGAGTTCCTGTTGGGTTCCTATTGGGTCCCTGTTGGGTCCCTGTTGGGTCCCTGTTGGGTTCCTGGTGGGTCCCTGGTGGGTTCCTGTTGGATCCCTATTGGGGCCCTGTTGGGTTCTTGTTGGGTTCCCATTGGGTCCCTGTTGGGTCCCTGTTGGGATCTTGTTGGGTTCCCATTGGGTTCCTGTTGGGTCCCTGTTGGGTTCCTGTTGGGTTCCTATTGGGTTTCTATTGGGTCCCTGTTGGGTTCCTGGTGGGTCCCTGTTGGTTTCCTGTTGGGTCCCTGTTGGGTTCCTGTTGGGTTCCTGTTGGGTCCCTGATGGGTTCCTGTTGGTTTCCCATTGGGTCCCTGTTGGGTCTGTGTTGGGTTCCTGTTGGGGTCCTGTTGGGTCCCTGTTGGGTTCCTGTTGGGTTCCTGTTGGGTCCCTGTTGGGTTCCTGTTGGGTTCCTGTTGAGTTCCTGTTGGGTTCCTATTGGGTCCCTGTTGGGTTCCTGTTGGGTCCCTGTTGGGTTCCTGGTGGGTCTCTATTGGGTCCCTACTGGGGCCCTGTTGGGTTCGTGTTGGGTTCCTGTTGCGTTCCTGTTGGGTTCCTGTTGAGTCCCTGTTGGGTTCGTGTTGGGTCCCTGTTGGGTTCGTGTTGGGTCCCTGTTGGGTTCCTGTTGGGTTCCTGTTGAGTTCCTGTTGGGTTCCTATTGGGTCCCTGTTGGGTTCCTGTTGGGGCCCTATTGGGGCCCTGGTGGGTCCCTGTTGGGTTCCTGGTGGGTCTCTATTGGGTCCCTACTGGGGCCCTGTTGGGTTCGTGTTGGGTTCCTGTTGCGTTCCTGTTGGGTTCCTGTTGAGTTCCTGTTGGGTTCCTATTGGGTCCCTGTTGGATTCCTGTTGGGTCCCTATTGGGTCCCTGTTGGGTCCCTGGTGGGTTCCTGTTGGGTCCCTGGTGGGTTCCTGGTGGGTCCCTGGTGGGTTCCTGTTGGGTCCCTGTTGGGTCCCTGATGGGTTCCTGTTGGTTTCCCATTGGGTCCCTGTTGGGTCTGTGTTGGGTTCCTGTTGGGGTCCTGTTGGGTTCCTGTTGGGTCCCTGTTGGGTTCCTGTTGGGTTCCTGTTGGGTCCCTGATGGGTTCCTGTTGGTTTCCCATTGGGTCCCTGTTGGGTCTGTGTTGGGTTCCTGTTGGGGTCCTGTTGGGTCCCTGTTGGGTTCCTGGTGGGTTCCTGTTGGGTCCCTGTTGGGTTCTTGTTGGGTTCCCGTTGGGTCCCTGTTGGGTTCATGTTGGGTTCCTGTTGGGTTCTTGTTGGGTCCCTGTTGGGTCCCTTTTGGGTTCCTGTTGGGTTCTTGGTGGGTTCCTGTTGGGTTCTTGTTGGGTTCCTGTTGGGTTCCTGTTGGGTTCTTGTTGGGTCCCTGTTGGGTCCCTTTTGGGTTCCTGTTGGGTTCTTGGTGGGTTCCTGCTGGGTTCCTGTTGGGTTCTTGGTGGGTTCCTGTTGGGTTCCTCTTGTGTCCCTGTTCTGTTTTTGCTGTGTCCTTGCTCTATCCCTGTTCTATCCCTTTTGTGTCCCTGTTGTTGTGTCCCTCTTCTATCCCTGTTCTATCCCTGCTGTCTCCCTGTTCTATCCCTCTTCTACCCCCGTTCTACCCCTGTTCTATCCCCATTCTATCCCCGTTCTATCCCCGTTCTATCCCTCTTCTATCCCCGTTCTATCCCTCTTCTATCCCTCTTCTATCCCTGCTGTATCCCCGTTCTACCCCTGTTCTATCCCCATTCTATCCCTGTTCTATCCCCGTTCTATCCCTCTTCTATCCCTGCTGTATCCCCGTTCTATCCCCATTCTATCCCTGTTCTATCCCCATTCTATCTCCGTTCTATCCCTCTTCTATCCCCGTTCTATCCCTGTTCTATCCCTGCTGTCTCCCTGTTCTATCCCTGTTCTATCCCCGTTCTATCCCCGTTCTATCTCCGTTCTGTCCCCATTCTATCCCCATTCTATCCCCATTCTATCCCCATTCTATCCCCGTTCTATCCCCGTTCTGTCCCCATTCTGTCCCCGTTCTGTCCCCGTTCTATCCCCGTTCTGTCCCCGTTCTGTCCGCGTTCTATCCCCGTTCTATCCCCGTGCTATCCCCGTTCTGTCCCTGTTCTATCCCTCTTCTATCCCCGTTCTATCCCTGCTCTATCCCTGTTCTATCCCCGTTCTATCCCTCTTCTATCCCCGTTCTATCCCTGCTCTATCCCCGTTCTGTCCCCGTTCTATCCCCGTTCTATCCCTCTTCTATCCCCGTTCTATCCCTGCTGTCTCCCTGTTCTATCCCCGTTCTTTCCCTCTTCCCTCCCCGTTCTATCCCTGCTCTATCCCTGTTCTATCCCAGGGGAACCCACGGCTGAGCGAGGCCTTCGTGACGCAGCTCGAGGCGGAGCTGGAGCAGTCGCGGCTCCGGGAGAGCCAGACCCGAGGAGCCCTCAAGGAGATGCAGGACCGGGTCCTCCACATGGAGCAGGTGCTGGGACATGGGTGCCCTGGCAGGGACCCATGGGTGGCCCTCTGGGGGGGGGGGTGGGTGTGGCAAGGGTGCCCTGTGGCACCCAGTGCTCCTGCGTGCAGTGACCTCATCCTGGGCGGTCCACAGCGCTGTCCCCATGGTGTCCCATTGCTGGCACCAGACCTCCCCATGATGTTCCCATGGTATCACGTTGATGTCCCCATGGTGTCCCACTGATGTCCCAGTGATGTCCCCATTGATGTCCCCATGCTGTCCCCATTGATGTCCCATTGATGTCCCATTGATGTCCCCATTGATGTCCCCATGGTGTCCCATTGATGTCCCCATGATGTCCCCATGGTGTCCCCATGCTGTCCCATTGATGCCCCCATGCTGTTCCCATTGATGTCCCGTTGATGTCCCATTGATGTCCCCATGCTGTCCCCATTGATGTCCCATCGATGTCCCATTGATGTCCCCATGCTGTCCCCATTGATGTCCCATTGATGTCCCCATTGATGTCCCATTGATGTCCCCATGCTGTCCCCATTGATGTCCCATTGATGTCCCCATGCTGTCCCATTGATGTCCCATTGATGTCCCATTGATGTCCCATTGATGTCCCCATTGATGTCCCCATTGCTGTCCCCATTGATGTCCCCATGGTGTCCCATCGATGTCCCATTGATGTCCCCATTGATGTCCCCATGGTGTCCCATTGATGTCCCCATTGATGTCCCCATTGATGTCCCCATGGTGTCCCCATGCTGTCCCATTGATGTCCCATTGATGTCCCCATTGATGTCCCATTGATGTCCCATTGATGTCCCCATTGATGTCCCCATGCTGTCCCATTGATGTCCCATTGATGTCCCATTGATTTCGCCATTGATGCCCCCGTGCTGTCACCATTGATGTCCCCATGCTGTCCCCATTGATGTCCCATCGATGTCCCATCGATGTCCCATTGATGTCCCCATGCTGTCCCATTGATGTCCCATTGATGTCCCATTGATGTCCCCATGCTGTCCCATTCATGTCCCATTGATGTCCCATCGATGTCCCATCGATGTCCCCATTGATGTCCCATTGATGTCCCATCGATGTCCCCTCTGTCCCCGCAGCAGAGCAGTTCAGTGCGGCTACAGGAGGAGCTCCAGGATCAGCTCCAGGGGCAGCTCCAGGAGCACCTGGAGCAGGAGGAGCTGCAGGAGGAGCTGCAGGAGGAGCTGCAGGAGGAGCTGCAAGAGGAGCTGCAGGAGGAGCTGCAGGAGGAGCTGCAGGAGGAGCTGCAGGAGGAGCTGCGGGAGGAGCTGCAGGAGGAGCTGCAGGAGGAGCTGCAGGAGGAGCTGCAAGAGGAGCTGCAAGAGGAGCTGCAGGAGGAGCTGCGGGAGGAGCTGCAGGAGGAGCTGCAGGAGCTGCGGGCGCTGCGTGAGGCCAAGGCCCTCGGGTCCCTCTCGGAGCTGCAGTCGCAGGTGGAGCTCAGGGATAGCATCATGGGGGTGCCAATGGGTGCTATGGGTGCCAATGGGTGCCAGTGGATGCTATTGGTGCCTATGGGTGCTATGGGTGCTGGTGGGTGCCCATGGGTGCTATGTGTGGTAATGGGTGCCAATGGGTGCCAATGGATTCTATGGGTGCTGATGGGTGCCAATGAGTGCTATGGGTGCTGATGGGTGCAATGGGTGCTGTGGATGCGCTGGGGTGCTGTGGATGCGCATGGGTGCTGTGGGTGCCAATGGGTGCTAATGGATGCTATGGGTGCCGATGGGTGCTATGGGTGCTGTAGATGCACATGGGTGCTGTGGGTGCCTATGGGTGCTGATGGGTGCCCATGGGTGTTATGGGTACTGGTGGGTGCTATGGGTGCTATGTGTGGCAATGAATGCCAATGGGTGCTAATGGGGGGTGCCAATGGGTTCTATGGGTGCTGATGGGTGCCAATATGTGCCAATGCGTGCTATGGGTGCCAATGGGTGCTATGAGTGCTGATAGGTGCCCATGGGTGTTATGGGTGCTGATGGGTGCTGTTGGTGCTGATGGGTGCCAATGGGTGCTATGTGTGGCAATGGGTGCCAATGGGTGCTAATGGGTGCCAATGGATTCTGTGGGTGCTGATGGGTGCTATGGATGCTCATGGGTGCTGTGGGTGCCAATGGGTGCTGATGGGTGCCCATGGGTGTTATGGGTGCCCATGGGTGCTATGGGTGCTGATGGGTGCCAGTTGTGCTGTGGGTGCTGATGGGTGCCAATGGGTGCTATGGGTGCTAATGGATGCTCTGGGTGCTGACAGGTGCTAATGGGTGCTATGGATGCTATGGGTACTGATGGGTGCCAGTGGGTACTATGGGTTCTGATGGGTGCCAATTGGTGCTGTGGGTTCTGATGGGTGCTGATGGGTGCCAGTGGGTGCTATGGGCACTGATGGGTCCCAATGGGTGCTATGGGTGCTGATGGCTGCTGTGAGTTCTGACGGGTGCTGTGGGTGCCAATGGGTGCTATGGGCACTGATGGGTGCCAATGGGTGCTGCGGGTACTGCTGGGTGCCAATGGGTGCTGCGGATGCCAATGGGTGCTATGAGCACTGATGGGTGCCAATGGGTGCTGCGGGTACTGATGGGTGCCAATGGGTGCTGCGGATGCCAATGGGTGCTATGAGCACTGATGGGTCCCAATGGGTGCTATGGGTGCTGATGGCTGCTGTGAGTTCTGACGGGTGCTGTGGGTGCCAATGGGTGCTATGGGCACTGATGGGTGCCAATGGGTGCTGCGGGTACTGATGGGTGCCAATGGGTGCTGCGGGTGCCAATGGGTGCTATGAGCCCTGATGGGTGCCAGTGGGTGCTATGGGTGCTGATGGGTGCCAGTGGGTGCTATGGATACTGATGGGTGCCAGTGGGTGCTGGGGGTGCTGATGGGTGCCAGTGGGTGCTCTGGGCGCTGATGGGTGCTGTGGGTGCTGCAGGAGCCCAAGGCGCTGCAGGAGGCGCAGGTGGAGCTGCGGGAGCTGCGGCAGCGGGTGCTGCACCTCGAGAGCCAGGTAGAGCCTCACTGGGGTGTTGGGTCCATGGGTGCTCAACTCGGGTCCATGGGTGCTGGGTCCATGGGTGCTGGGTCCATGGGTGCTGACCGGGGCTCTGGGTCCATGGGTGCTGGGTCCATAGGTGCTCGATGCTGGGTCCATAGGTGCTAAACTGAGGGCTCTGGGTCCATGGGTGCTGGGTCCATGGGTGCTGAACAGGGGCTCTGGGTCCATGGGTGCTGGGTCCATGGGTGCTGGGTCCATGGGTGCTGAACTGGGGCTCTGGGTCCATGGGTGCTTGGTCCATGGGTGCTGGGTCCATGGGTGCTGAACAGGGGCTCTGGTTCCATGGGTGCTGGGTCCATGGGTGCTGGGTCCATGGGTGCTGGGTCCATGGGTGCTGAACAGGGGCTCTGGGTCCATGGGTGCTGGGTCCATGGGTGCTGGGTCCATGGGTGCTGAACAGGGGCTCTGGGTCCATGGGTGCTGGGTCCATGGGTGCTGGGTCCGTGGGTGCTGGGTCCATGGGTGCTGAACTGGGTCTGTGGGTCCATGGGTGCTGGATCCATGGGTGCTGGGTCCATGGGTGCTGACGCTGTCTCCCATAGGGTGCTCTGCAGCCACTGGAGGTTCAGCACCGGCACCAGGAGCTGCAGAGCCAGGTACGGGGACACCCCCATAGGCACCCATAGACACCCTATAGAAACCCTATAGACACCCTATAGACACCCTATAGAAACCCTATAGAAACCCTATAGAAACCCTATAGAAACCCTATAGACACCCTATAGACACCCTATAGAAACCCTATAGAAACCCTATAGAAACCCTATAGAAACCCGATAGACACACTATAGACACCCTATAGAAAGCCTATAGACACCCTATAGAAACCCTATAGACACCCTATAGAAACCCTATAGACACCCATTGACGCCCATTGGTACCCCATGGACACCCTATAGACACCCTATAGACACCCATGGACACCCCTATGGACACCCTATAGACACCCTATAGAAACCCTATAGACACTTTATAGAAACCCTATAGACACCCATGGACACCCTATAGACACCCTATAGACACCCATTGACACCCTATAGACACCCATGGACACCCATGGGTACCCCATGGACACCCTATAGAAACCCTATAGACACCCATTGACACCCTATAGACACCCTATAGACACCCTATAGACACCCTAGAGACACCATATAGACACCCTAGAGAGACCCTATAGACACCCTATAGAGACCCTATAGACACCCTATAGACACCCTATAGACACCCTATAGACACCCATGGACACCCATGGGTACCCCATGGACACCCTATAGAAACCCTATAGAAACCCTATAGATGCCCATGGGCGCGCTATAGAGACCCATAGACCCTCATGGACACTACATAGGGTGAAACTGGGTGACACTGGGGTGCCATTGAGTGCCATTGGGTGCCATTGGATGCCATTGGGTGACACTGGGTAACATTGGGTGCCACTGGGTGCCACTGGGGTGCCACTGGGTGACCGTGGGGTGCTATTGCGTGTCATTGGGTGACACTGGAGTACTATTGGGTGCCATTGGGTGACACTGGGATGCCATTGGGTGCCGTTGGGTGACACTGGGGTACTATCGGGTGCCATTGGGTGACACTGGGGTACTATTGGGTGCCATTGGGTGACACTGGGGTACTATTGGGTGCCATTAGGTGACCCTGGGGTACTATTGGGTGCCATTGGGTGCCGTTGGGTGACACTGGGATGCCATTGGGTGCCATTGGGTGACCCTGGGGTACTATTGGGTGCCATTAGGTGACACTGGGTGACCCTGGGGTACTATTGGGGGCCATTGGGTGACACTGGGTGACCCTGGGGTACTATTGGGTGCCATTGAGTGACCCTGGAGTACTATCGGGTGCTGTTGGGTGACCCTGGGATGCCATTGGGTGCCATTGGGTGACACTGGGATGCCATTGGGTGCCATTGGGTGACACTGGGGTACTATTGGGGGCCATTGGGTGACACTGGGGTACTATTGGGTGCCATTGGGTGACACTGGGATGCCATTGGGTGCCGTTGGGTGACACTGGGGTACTATTGGGTGCCATTGGGTGACACTGGGTGACCCTGGGGTGCCATTGGGAGCCATTGGGTGACACTGGGGTACTATCGGGTGCCGTTGGGTGACCCTGGGATGCCATTGGGTGCCATTGAGTGACCCTGGGGTACTATCGGGTGCCATTGGGTGCCATTGGGTGACCCTGGGGTGCCATTGGGTACCATTGGGTGACACTGGGGTACTATTGGGTACAATTGGGTGCCATTGGGTGCCATTGGGTGACCCTGGGGTACTATCGGGTACAATTGGGTGCCATTGGGTGACCCTGGGGTACTATTGGGTGCCATTGGGTGACACTGGGGTACTATTGGGTGCCATTGGGTGCCATTGGGTGACCCTGGGGTACTATTGGGTGCCATTGGGTGCCGTTGGGGGCCGCAGAGCCTGCAGCAGGGGCTGCAAGAAGGGAGCAACGCGGCGGCAATGGAGGAGCTGCGGCAACGAGTGAGAGAGCTGGAACTGCAGGTGTGGGAATGGGATGGGGTGTGGGATATGGGATATGGGGTATGGGGTGTGGGGTATGGGGTGTGGGGTATGGGGTATGGGGTATGGGATATGGGATATGGGGTATGGGGTATGGGGTATGGGGTATGGGATATGGGGTATGGGGTGTGGGATATGGGATATGGGGTATGGGATATGGGGTATGGGATATGGGGTATGGGGTATGGGATATGGGGTATGGGCTATGGGGTATGGGGTGTGGGATATGGGATATGGGGTGTGGGATGTGGGGTGTGGGGTATGGGATATGGGGTGTGGGGTATGGGGTATGGGGTGTGGGGTGTGGGGTGTGGGATGTGGGGTATAGGATGTAGGGTATGGGATATGGGGTATGGGATATGGGGTATGGGGTGTGGGGTATGCAATATGGGGTATGGAGTATGGGATATGGGGTGTGGGATATGGGACATGGGATGTGTGGGCGCTGTCTCTGGGGGTGCACCCATGGGTGCTCTGGTTCCCAGCAGGAGCAGCGGCTGCTCCAGGGGCAGCTCAAGCGCTCGGAAGCGGCTCAGAGCATCCGGCACCTGCAGGAGCACATCCGGGAGCTCAAGGCTGAGGTGAGGACCCCCCAGCACCCATGGGTGTCAATGGGACCCGGAACCAGCACCCATGGGTGTCAATGGGACCCATAACCAGCACCCATGGGTGTCAATGGGACCAGCACCCATGGGTGTCAATGGGACCCGGGACCAGCGCCCATGGGTGTCAGTGGGACCCGGAACCAGCACCCATGGATGTCAATGGGACCCAGAACAGCGCCCATGGGTGTCAAATGGGCACCCATGGGTGTCAATGGGACCAGCGCCCATGGGTGTCAATGGGACCCGGGACCAGCACCCATGGGTGTCAATGGGACCTGGGACCAGCACCCATGGGTGTCAATGGGTCCTGGGACCAGCACCCCTGGGTGTCAATGGGACCCATAACCAGCACCCATGGGTGTCAATGGGACCCATAACCAGCACCCATGGGTGTCAATGGGACCCATAAACCAGCACCCATGGGTGTCAATGGGACCCATAACAAGCACCCATGGGTGACAGCACCTCTCCCCCCTGCCACTTCTCTGCTGTCCCTCATCCCCCCCTCACCCGCCCTTCACCCCCCCATCCCCCCCCATCCCCCCATCCCCCCCTCATCCCCCCCCACCCGCCCCTCACCCCCCCATGCCCCCCTCATCCCCCCCTCATCCCCCCATCCCCCCCATCCCCCCCCATCCTCCCCATCCCCCCCATCCCCCCATCACCCCCCCATCCCCCCCCATCCCCCCCTCTCCCCCCTCCATCCCTCCCCATCCCCCCCTCATTGCCCCCCCATCCCCCCCTCATTCCCCTCATCCCCCCCATCCCCCCCCCCCTCCCCCCATCCCCCCCATCCCCCCCCATCCCCCCACACCCCACATCCCCCCATCCCCCCCCCCCCCTCTCTCCCCCTATCCCCCCCCCATCCCCCCCTCCCCTCCCCCCTTTCTCCCCTAGATCCGGATGCTCCGGGGGTCGCTGCCGTTCGGTGCCGTGGGGCTGGGCCCCCCCCTGGGCCCCCCCCTGGACTCCTCGGGCTCTTCCGATGAGGAGCCCCCCCCCTTCCCCCTCCGGGCCCTCGGGCACTTGGGGGGCAGCAGCGACAGCGACCACGAGGGGGCGCCCCCCGCACCCTGAGCCCCAGAGAGGGGGTGGGGCTCCAGCCCCATAGAGCCCGGGGGCAGCCAATGGGGCAGCGAGGAGCACCCATGGGTCCCGTGGCACCCAAGGAGCACCCATGGAGCCTGTGGCACCCAAGGAGCACCCATGGAGCCTGTGGCACACAAGGGGCACCCATAGGACACTGAGGAGCACCCTCCTGTGGCACCCAAGGAGCACCCATGGAGCCCATAGGACACTGGGGAGCACCCATGGACCCTGTGGCACCCAAGGGGCACCCATAGGACACTGAGGAGCACCTTCCTGTGGCACCCAAGGAGTACCCATGGAGCCCATAGGACACTGAGGAGCACCCATGGACCCTTTGGCACCCTAGGAGCACCCATGGAGCCTGTGGCACCCAAGGAGCACCCATGGAGCCTGTGGCACACAAGGGGCACCCATAGGACACTAAGGAGCACCCTCCTGTGGCACCCAAGGAGCACCCATGGCGCCCATAGGACACTGGGAGCACCCATGGACCCTGTGGCACCCAAGGGGCACCCATAGGACACTGAGGAGCACCTTCCTGTGGCACCCAAGGAGCACCCATGGCGCCCATAGGACACTGAGGAGCACCCATGGGTCCCGTGGCACCCAAGGAGCACCCATGGAGCCCATAGGACACTGAGGAGCACCCTCCTGTGGCACCCAAGGAGCACCCATGGAGCCCATAGGACACTGGGAGCACCCATGGACCCTGTGGCACCCAAGGGGCACCCATAGGACACTGAGGAGCACCTTCCTGTGGCACCCAAGGAGCACCCATGGAGCCCATAGGACACTGAGGAGCACCCATGGACCCTTTGGCACCCAAGGAGCACCCATGGAGCCTGTGGCACCCAAGGAGCACCCATGGAGCCTGTGGCACCCAAGGGGCACCCATAGGACACTGAGGAGCACCCTCCTCTGGCACCCAAGGAGCACCCATGGCGCCCATAGGACACTGGGGAGCACCCATGGACCCTTTGGCACCCAAGGGGCACCCATAGGACACTGAGGAGCACCCTCCTGTGGCACCCAAGGAGCACCCATAGGACACTGAGGAGCACCCATGGGTCCTATGGCACCCAAGGAGCACCCATGGCACCCATAGGACACTGGGGAGCACCCATGGACCCTGTGGCACCCAAGGAGCACCCATGGTGCCCATAGGACACTGAGGAGCACCCATGGGTCCTATGGCACCCAAGGAGCACCCATGGCGCCCATAGGACACTGAGGAGCACCCATGGACCCTGTGGCATCCAAGGGGCACCCATAGGACACTGAGGAGCACCCATGGGTCCTGTGGCACCCAAGAGGCACCCATAGGACACTGAGGAGCACCCATGGACCCTGTGGCACCCAAGGGGTACCCATAGGACACTGAGGAGCACCCATGGGTCCTGTGGCACCCAAGGAGCACCCGTGGAGCCCATAGGACACTGGGGAGCACCCATGGACCCTGTGGCACCCAAGGAGCACCCATGGTGCCCATAAGACACTGAGGAGCACCCATGGGTCCTATGCCACTCAAGGAGCACCCATGGAGCCTGTGGCACCCAAAGGGCACCCATGGACCCCAGGGGACACTGAGGAGCGCACATGGACTCTATGGCACCCAAGGGGCACCCATGGACCCCAGAGGACCCAGGAGACACCAAGGGGCACCCATGGACCCTGTGGCACCCAAAGGGCACCCATGGAACCCAGAGGATGCTGAGAAGCACCCATGGGCCCAATAGGACCCAGGGTACTCCAAGGAGCACCCATGGGCCATATGGCACCCAAGGGACACCACTGGGCTCCATGGCACCCAGAGGACACCGAGGAGCACCCATAGGCCCCGTGGCACCCAAGGGACCCCCATGGACCCTATAGGACCTAGGGAACACCAAGGAGCACCCATGGGCCTCATGGCACTGAAGGGACAATGGGGGACACTAAGGGACACCCATGGCACCCAAAGGACCCTGAGGAGCACCCATGGGCCCCGTGGCACCCAAAGGACCCCAAGGAGCACCCATGGACCCCGTGGCACCCAAAGGACCCCAAGGAGCACCCATGGGCCCTGTGGCACCCAAGGGACACCCATGGCACCCAGAGGACCCTGAGGAGCACCCATGGGCCCCGTGGCACCCAAAGGACCCCAAGGAGCACCCATGGGCCCCGTGGCACCCAAGGGGTACCCAAGGACCGTATAGCACCCAGGGGACACCCACGGCCCCTACGGCACCCAGAGGACACTGGGGGGGCACCCATGGGCCCCATAGCACCCAAGGGGCACCCAATGGCACCCAAGGGGATCCAGCCCCATCCGGATCCCATCCATTGGGATCCAAGCATGGGGGGACCCCAACATTGGACCGGGATATGGGGGGGGGGGGGGGGGGATGGGACCCGATCCTGCCCCCCCCCCCCCATTGGTTCCTTCCTGTACAGAGAAATAAGAGACAATGTGGGGAAACAGCCCCAAAATCCTGAGAATTCACCCCAAAAACACCGTGGGACCTAAAAAAGCATCAAATTCACCCCGGAAATTCCCCGTGGAGCCCAAAATCCTGGGGGTTGCTCCCAAAACTCCCGGAATTCACCCCAAAACGTCTGTAGGGAGCCAAAAAGCATCAAATTCACCCTGAAAAAGCCCACTTAGAGCCCCAAATCCCTGAGATTTGGCCTAAAATCGTGGGAATTCACCCCAAAAAGGGGCTGGGAGCGAAAAAGCATCAAAATCACCCCAAACCCCCACTTGGACCCTAAAATCCCTGGAATTCACCCCAAAATCTGTAAGGACCCCAAAAAGCCTCGAATTCACCCCAGAAATCCCATATGGAGCCCAAAATCCTGGGAATCGGTCACCAAACCCCTGGATTTGACCCCAGAACATCAGCAAAGACCCAAAATGCCGCAAATTCAGCCCAAAACCCAACTTGGACCGCAAAACCCCCGCGATTTGCCCTAAAATCCCTGTTATTATGCCCAAAATGGGTAAGAACCCAAAAAGCCTCAAATTCACCTCAAAAATGCCCTGTAGACCCCCCCAATCCTGGGAATTGGTCACAAAATCCCAGGAATTCACCCCAAAAACATGGGCTGGGACCCAAAATCCATCAAATTCAAGCCAAAAAACCCCACTTGGACACCAAATCCCTGCGGTTTGCCCTAAAACCACTGAAATTCACCCCAAAATGGGCTGGACCCCAAAGTGATGGAATTTGGCCCCCAAACCCCTCAAATTCACCCCAAAACGTCACTGGACCCAAAAAGCCTCGAATTCACCCCAAAAGCCCATTTGGCCCCAAAACCCCTTGAATTCAACCCAAAATCACCTCCCCCCCCCCAATAACCACAAGGGGGGGGGGGGCTCAGGGGCTCCTTTATTTGGCCCCCAGGACGGGGGGGGGACCCGGAAGGTTCCATCCATGGGGGGGGGGGGGGGGATCGGCCTCAGGGTGCTGTGGGGGGGGCCCCGACAGGCGGCGGCTTCAGGGGGGGGCTCCTGAGCTGGGGGGGGGGGTCCCATTGAGCTCCATTGAGCCCCATTGAGTTCTCATTGAGCCCCCATTGAGCCCCATTGAGTTCTCATTGAGCCCCCATTGAGCTCCATTGAGACCCATTGAGCTCCATTGGGCCCCATGGAGTTCTCATTGAGCCCCCATTGAGCTCCCTTTAAGCCCCGTTGCCCCCCATTGAGCCCCATTGAGTTCTCATTGAGCCCCCATTGAGCTCCATTGAGCCCCATGGAGTTCTCATTGAGCCCCCATTGAGCTCCCTTTAAGCCCCGTTGCCCCCTATTGAGCCCCATTGAGCTCCATTGAGCCCCATTGAGGTCTCATTGAGTCCCCATTGAGCCCCCATCGCCCGCATTCAGCCCCCATTGAACCCCCATTGCCCCCCATTGAGCTCCCTTTAAGCCCCATTGCCCCCATTGAGCTCCATTGAGCCCCATTGAGTTCTCATTGAGCCCCCATTGAGCTCCATTGAGCCCCATTGAGTTCTCATTGGGCCCCCATTGAGCCCCCTTTAAGCCCCGTTGCCCCCTATTGAGCCCCATTGAGCTCCATTGAGCCCCATTGAGGTCTCATTGAGTCCCCATTGAGCCTCCATTGCCCGCATTCAGCCCCCATTGAACCCCCATTGCCCCCCATTGAGCTCCCACTGAGCCCCATTGCCCCCCATTGAGCTCCCTTTAAGCCCCATTGCCCCCATTGAGCTCCATTGAGCCCCATTGAGTTCTCATTGAGCCCCCATTGACTCCCATTGAGCCCCCATTGACCCCCACTGAGCCCCACCGACCCTCGTTGAGAACCCACTGAGCACCCATCGCTCCCCATTGACCCCCACTGAGTCCCATTGAGCCCCATTGCCCCCCATTGCCCCATACCTGGCACTGGGGGGCAGCGTTGGACCTGGGGGGGGCAGGAGGGGGCCGTGGGGCAGCTGGGGGGGGGGGAGGCAGTGATAAGAGGGGGTCATATGGGATCTATGGGGGTATATGGCAGTCTATGGGGGGAATTTGGGGTCTCAGGGGGGTCTATGTGGGGCTATGGGGGTCTATAGGGAGTATATGGTGGTCTCAAGGGGGTCTATGAGTGTCTACGTTGTCTATGGTGTCTCTGGGTGCCTATGGGTCTCTATGGGTTCTATGGGGGTCTATGAGGTCTATGTGGGGCTATGGGGGTCTGTGGATGTCTATGGGGGGGGCTATGGGTGTCTCTAGGGTCTGTGAGGGGCTATGGTGTCTCTGGGTGCCTATGGGGGTCTATGGGTCTCTATGGGTTCTATGGGGGGCTATGAGGTCTATGTGGGGCTGTGGGGGGGCTATGGGTGTCTATGGGGTCTGTGAGGAGCTATGGAGTCTATGGGGGTCTATGGGGTCTGTTGGGGGGGCTATGGAGTCTATGGGTGTCTATGTGGTCTATTGGGGGGCTATGGGGTCTATGGGGGGCTATGGGGTCTATTGGGGGGCTATGGGGTCTATGGGTGTCTATGGGGTCTATTGGGGGGCTATGGGGTCTATGGGGCGCTATGAGATCTATGGGTGTCTATGGGACCTATGGTAGTCTAGGGGTGCCTATAGGTCTCCATGGTCTCTGTGGGTCTCTCTATGGTCTCTATGGGTCTCTCTATGGGTCTCTATGGTCTCTATGGGTCTCTATGGTCTCTATGGGTCTCTATGGGGTCTCTATGGGTCTCTATGGTCTCTATGGGTCTCTATGGATCTCTATGGGTCTCTATGGGTCTCTATGGGTCTCTATGGTCTCTATGGGTCTCTATGGGTCTCTATGGGTCTCTATGGTCTCTATGGGTCTCTATGGGTCTCTATGGTGTCTCTATGGGTCTCTATGGGTCTCTATGGGGTCTCTATGGGTCTCTATGTGTCTCTATGGGTCTCTATGGTCTCTATGGGTCTCTATGGGTCTCTATGGGGTCTCTATGGTTCTCTATGGGTCTCTCTGGGTCTCTATGGTCTCTATGGGGTCTCTATGGGTCTCTATGGTCTCTATGGGTCTCTATGGGTCTCTATGGTCTCTATGGGGTCTCTATGGGTCTCTATGGTTCTCTATGGGTCTCTCTGGGTCTCTCTGGGTCTCTATGGTCTCTATGGTCTCTATGGGTCTCTATGGTCTCTCTGGGTCTCTATGGGTCTCTCTGGGTCTCTATGGTCTCTATGGGTCTCTGTGGGTCTCTATGGGTCTCTCTGGGGTGCTTTGCCCCCCTCACCTGTGCGCCCGTGCACGAACCAGACCCCCCCCGCCAGCGCTGCCCCCACCACGAAGGCCCCGAAGGAAACGGCAGCGACGACCCCGGGGGGGACCTGGGGGTCTGAAGTGGGGGGAGGGGGGGGGAGGGGGTCAGTGATGGAACCCCCCCCCTCCCCCCCTTGCCCCGCCCCCTCCCCCCCCATTGCCCCTCCCCCCCCATCACTCACCCGCGGGGGGGGGGCGGGGCCGGTCCCGTTGCTGGGGGGGAGGGGGGAGGCGCAGCACGGAGGGGGGAGGGGGGAACGGCAGCGGGGGGGCACCTGCGGGGGGAGGGGTCAGAGGGGTCAGGGGTCATTCCCCCCATTCCCGGTATTGCCAGTGTTGGGCTATTGGCTATCCCGGCATTCCCGTTATTCCCGGTATTCCCAGTGTGGGGTATCCCAGTATTCCCAGTACTCCCAGTGTTGGGGGTCCCAGTATTCCCCGTCTGGGGTGTTGGCTATCCTGGCATTCCCGTTATTCCCAGTATTCCCAGTGTTGGGGGTCACGGTATTCCCAATATTCCCAGTGTGCGGTATTGGCTATCCCAGCATTCCCGGTATTCCCAGCATTCCCAGTGTGGGGTGTTGGGTACCCTGGCATTCCCGCTGTTCCCAGTATTCCCAATGTTGGGCTCTTCCCATTATTCCCAGTATTCCCAGTGTGGGGTATCCCGGTATTCCCAGCATTCCCAGTGTGGGATGTCGGCTATTCCAGCCTTCCCCCTATTCCCGGTATTCCCAGTGTTGGGAATCCCAGTATTCCAGGTGTGCGGTATTGGCTATCCCAGCATTCCCGGTATTCCTGGTATTCCCAGTGTGTGGTATTGGCTATCCGAGCATTCCCAGTGTTGGGCTATTGGCTATCCCAGCATTCCCGTTATTCCCAGTATTCCCAGTGTGGGGTATCCCGTTATTCCCAGTATTCCCAGTGTGCGGCATTGGCTATCCCAGCATTCCCGTTATTCCCAGTATTCCCAGTGTGGGGTATCACGGTATTCCCAGTATTCCCAGTGTTGGGAATCCCAGTATTCCCAGTGTGTGGTATTGGCTATCCCAGCATTCCCAGTATTCCTGTTATTCCCAGTATTCCCAGTGTGGGGTACCCCAGTATTCCCAGTATTCCCAGTGTTGGGCTATTGGCTATCCCAGCATTCCCGTTATTCCCAGTATTCCCAGTGTGGGGTATCCCGTTATTCCCAGTATTCCCAGTGTTGGGAATCCCAGTATTCCCAGTGTGCGGTATTGGCTATCCCAGCATTCCCAGTACTCCTGTTATTCCCAGTATTCCCAGTGTTGGGTATCCCGTTATTCCCGGTATTCCCGGGATTGGCTATCCCGCTATTCCCGCTCTTCCCACTGTTCCCGCCATTCCCGCTCTTCCCGGACCTGTCGCCCCGCCCCTCTCGGGCCCCAGGGTCACCACCATTGGCCTGGACACGGTTCGCAGGGCGGGGCCGTGGGCGGGGCGTGGGCGGGGCCGGAGGGTGGGGCCTGACCCTGAGGCTCCGCCCCCACGGCGGGAGAAGCGCTCGGAGCCGCACTGGGGGTGGGAACGGGAACGAGGCTCAACCGGTTCAACCCCGGATCCAGCCCCGTCACGGATCCATCCCAATCCCATCCCATCCCCATCCCCACCCCATCCCCACCCCATCCCCACCCCATTCCCACCCCATTCCCTCTCTCACCCCATTCCCACCCCATCCCCACCCCATTCCCATTCCCACCCCATTCCCTCTCTCACCCCATCCCCACCCCATTCCCACCCCATTCCCCTCCATTCCCCCCCATTCCCACCCATATTCCCCATCCTCACCCCATCCCCACCCCATTCCCACCCCATCCTCATCATCCCCACCCCATTCCCACCCCATTCCCACCCCATTCCCTCTCTCACCCCATTCCCACCCCATTCCCTCTCCCACCCCACCCCATCCCCACCCCATTCCCACCCCATCCCCACCCCATTCCCACCCCATTCCCTCTCCCACCCCATTCCCACCCCACCCCATTCCCACCCCACCCCATTCCCACCCCATTCCCACCCCATTCCCTCTCTCACCCCATTCCCACCCCATTCCCACCCCATCCCACCCCATCCCACCCCATTCCCACCCCATTCCCTCTCTCACCCCATTCCCACCCCATTCCCACCCCATTCCCACCCCATTCCCTCTCTCACCCCATCCCCACACCATTCCCACTCCATCACACCCCATTCCCATTCCCACCCCATTCCCACCCCATTCCCACCCCATTCCCATTCCCACCCCATTCCCCCTCACCCCATTCCCCACCCCATCCCATTCTCCACCCCATTCCCATCCCCACCCCATTCCCACCCCATTCCCATTCCCACCCCATTCCCACCCCATTCCCATTCCCACCCCATTCCCTCTCTCACCCCATTCCCTCTCTCACCCCATTCCCACCCCATCCCCACCCCATTCCCACCCCATCCCCTCCCCATTACCACCCCATTCCCTCTCTCACCCCATTCCCACCCCATTCCCACCCCATTCCCTCTCTCACCCCATCCCCACCCCATTCCCACCCCATTCCCACCCCATCCCCACCCCATTCCCACCCCATTCCCTCTCTCACCCCATCCCCACCCCATTCACCCCATTCCCCTCCCCATTCCTACCCCATTCCCACCGCATTCCCTCTCTCACCCCATTCCCACCCCACCCCACCCTCTCTCACCCCATTCTCACCCCATTCCCTCTCCCCATCCCATCCCCACCCCACCCCATTCCCACCCCATTCCCATTCCCACCCCATTCCCATTCCCACCCCATTCCCTCTCCCACCCCATTCCCCTCTCTCCCACCCCATCCCCACCCCCCCACCCCATTCCCTCTCTCACCCCATCCCCCCACCCCATTCCCCACCCCATTCCCTCTCTCACCCCATCCCCACCCCTCCCACCCCATTCCCTCTCTCACCCCATCCCCACCCCATTCCC